TCCAAAATGATCTCTGCTAGCCTGCCCCTTCCATTCCAAAAATGATCTCTGCTAGCCTGCCCCTTCCATTCCCAAATGATCTCTGCTAGCCTGCCCCTTCCATTCCCAAATGATCTCTGCTAGCCTGCCCCTTCCATTCCCAAATGATCTCTGCTAGCCTGCCCCTTACATTCCAAAATGATCTCTGCTAGGCTGCCCCTTCCATTCCAAAATGATCTCTGCTAGCCTGCCCCTTACATTCCAAAATGATCTCTGCTAGCCTGCCCCTTCCATTCCAAAATGATCTCTGCTAGCCTGCCCCTTCCATTCCCAAATGATCTCTGCTAGCCTGCCCCTTCCATTCCCAAATGATCTCTGCTAGCCTGCCCCTTCCATTCCCAAATGATCTCTGCTAGCCTGCCCTTCCATTCCCAAATGATCTCTGCTAGCCTGCCCCTTCCATTCCCAAATGATCTCTGCTAGCCTGCCCCTTCCATTCCCAAATGATCTCTGCTAGCCTGCCCCTTCCATTCCAAGATGATCTCTGCTAGCCTGCCCTTCCATTCCCAAATGATCTCTGCTAGCCTGCCCCTTCCATTCCCAAATGATCTCTGCTAGCCTGCCCCTTCCATTCCCAAATGATCTCTGCTAGCCTGCCCCTTCCATTCCAAGATGATCTCTGCTAGCCTGCCCCTTCCATTCCCAAATGATCTCTGCTAGCCTGCCCCTTCCATTCCCAAATGATCTCTGCTAGCCTGCCCCTTCCATTCCCAAATGATCTCTGCTAGCCTGCCCCTTCCATTCCAAGATGATCTCTGCTAGCCTGCCCCTTCCATTCCCAAATGATCTCTGCTAGCCTGCCCCTTCCATTCCCAAATGATCTCTGCTAGCCTGCCCCTTCCATTCCCAAATGATCTCTGCTAGCCTGCCCCTTCCATTCCAAGATGATCTCTGCTAGCCTGCCCCTTCCATTCCCAAATGATCTCTGCTAGCCTGCCTGGCACTTCTCGACGTTCGCACAAAACAATAACTCTCGCCACCTAATTGCCCGGAACTAACTTGCATCCCACCCTATCTCTATCTGAGATCGAGTTGATAGTGGGTACCGGATAGGAGATCTTGAGCCAATAATTGACCCCAAACACCTACATAGCCCCAGGGCACCCGAATTGCTCTCTCTCTCTCTCTCTCTCTCTCTCTCTCTCTCTCTCTCTCACTTTATCCGGCCACTTGCGTTGGTGCCAAATTACGTTTGAGAATCTGCCCCCAGGGCATATTGGTGTTGGGGAAGAAGACTGATTGCCAGCAATCGTCAAGTACCGACCCACCACCATACACAACCACGTAATTAGGTGTGAAATGGAGCTGGGATGAGCATGGATGCCTGGGAATGTCGTGGAGGGCAACAAGCGAAAGCCTAGCAGAGCTCATTTTGGAATGGAAGAGGACAGGCTAGCAGAGATTTTTTTAGTTTTTTACGTTTCTACAACACTCCTGCTATTTCTGCGCATGATAAGTGCTGATTGATGATTCGGGAAGCAAATCCAAGGCCCCAAAAATTGCTGCAATCCACACGCCGAGCCAATCCGGAACTCTCAAAGAAGTGTAGGCTATCCGTGGGGGTGCGGAAAGCTACCCTGAGCACACTTCCCCCATCTTCCCCACCACTACGCAACACTCCAGATGGCGCCCAGTCGTCAGAGATAATGATACGCAAAATAGGGCTCGATAAAAAGAAATATAATTATTGTTTTCCGTGTTGGAAAGAAGCTAAAGAAATAGACAGAGAGAGAGAGAGAGAGAGAGAGAGAGAGAGCGAGAGAGAGAGAGGGAGAGAGAGCGAGAAAGAGCGTGAGAGAGATCGCGATTCAGAGAAGCATGTGCATGCTCTGGTAGTCCATAGTTTTCGAACTTTACGGCCCACTAGTTCTTCAAGTGCTCGTTTTCAGGCTGAAATTGGGTGCTCCAGGAAAACGACTGGAGTGATTATCACCAAAAAGTGCTGCTCCGTCAAGAGGAATGTTCGGAAAAGCATTGCAAAGCGCTGGGAAGGCAAAATCCAAATTCCTGGTACTGCATGGCTTCCAGAAGAGTCGCTGCTAGGGTGCCTAGGTCGGGTCCCTTGAGGTTGCTGCTAGCCCCCCCCCCCCCACGCTCATTTCAAGCCAGTTAACATCGAGAAAGAGAGAGAGAGATAGGGAGAGAGAGCGAGAGAGAAAGAGAAGGGGGGAGCGACAGACTGAGAGCGACTCTTGAACTGAAACTTAAACTACTTTTAAGATCCAGATTTCCATTAAAGAAAACTTCCCCCATCCCCAAGGCCGCCCCCTAAAACTTGCCATCCTCACCCTGACCCCTAAATGCTCACATTTGTCGGGTGAAACCACCTAAAAACCCAAAAAAGCGCCTCAAAAAACCCAAAAACGGGAGCATCAGGCACGCGCGGCCTTGGGACACTTTTTAGCTGCCCCAGCTGGGGTCTTGGGGGCGGGGGTAAAAACGTACGGTACCCGACTTCGAGGCGCCAGAAAATACCCTAGGGTTCGGTAGGGAGAGAGAGAGAGAGAGAGAGAGAGAGAGAGAGAGAGAGAGAGACGGAGGACCCCATAAATCCTGGTACCCCATTTGAATACCGGGGGAATTGCCAGGTAAGGGCCCCATTTTTCGCCAGGTATAACGTAACGACTGGTCATAGAAGAACAAAAAAAAAACTAAAATTCCACATTCCGTTCACAGGTGTCGCGTGGAATCGCAAAAATTTTGGCCCTCAAAAATGGTTAGAAGGGGGTCGGCATCGAAATAAATTCTTCAATTAGCAAATTATTTAGTGGATCCCTCTACCAATCTATGTTAATCTCTCTCTCTCTCGCTTTCTCTCTCTCTCTTTCGTTCTCTCACTCTCTGGCTAGTCGACTACAGTAATGTTTCAACTTGTCTCGTAAATCTCAATCCTCCTACACAAACACCCACCATCCTGGACATCCCGCAACTGGAAGGAGTTGTCCTTGGAATCGTTCGACCGTTCCGAGCCCCTCCGCCACCCGATTGCCCGGTTCGGGAGCGCCGAACCGACAAAATGGCGGTCAAAATTTGCATGAGAATTGAATGGCTGGGGATACAAGGAAACATCGGATCACTTTGGCGTCGTTAGGAGTGCCATGTAGCGGAATTTGGGAGAAAATGGTATTGAGGGATGTGCAAAAATTCGGAACTCGAAATGAGTGAAAGAGAGAGAGAGAGAGAGAGAGAGAGAGAGAGAGAGAGAGAGAGAGAGAGAGAGAATGAGATATAATGAGAGCGAATGAGAGAGAGATGAAGATAGAGAAAGAGAGAGGATAGGGAGCGGGCTAAAGAGAAACAGAACCAGAGAAATAGAGAAAAACTACAAAGTACAACTGTACTTTCCAAGCTTCCGAGACAATCCTATGACCCTGTGATCCGTGTATATAGGTGGGTAAGGTAGTGGTTACGATAGACGCAACAGCGAGAGAGAGCGAGAGAGAGAGAGAGAGAGAGAGAGAGAGAGAGAGAGAGAGAGAGAAAGGACATCTTGCCCCAAGGTACCCATTTTAAAGGATTATTTTGTCGCCATCGTCCTGACTGAGGCCCAAATTGGCGGCTTCCGGCCCGGGCTAGCCCCTCCATTCCGCACCACTCCTCCTGACAGCAACAGCAACAGCACAAAAGGCTAAAAATTGCCCCCCTTCCTGCGCAAAAATGTTGGCCCGGGGCAACACATTGCCGGGGCGCTGATTGGGGTCAGTGTGGAAAATTGGACCAGGTCAACCGGAAGGATTAGCGGGGGAGTAACGGCTTGCCTAGGTGAATTAGCTTGGTTTTTGGGGGTGGGGCAGAAATTAATGTTATATGCAAATCATATTTAACGCTGCGAATAAAGCCTAAAATGCGTGGAAAGAAAAAAATCGCGTTACGGTTCAATTTAATGCGTCCAATTTGTTTTCAACCATGAAAAAGTATAAATGTTCAACGGTCCGTCTCCCTCTCTCATTCGCTTTCCCTCTCCCTCTCTCACCCTCTTTCTCTCCCTCGCTCTCGCTCTCTCTCTCACTCTCTCTCTGCCAAATAATTTCAGAGCTCTTCCTGGGGCCATTCCCAGGAAGCCGTAAATCCCGACCGGCCGCCCTCTCTTGCCACAACCTTCAATCGCTTTGATGCGCCGCGAAAATAACCGATACGCTCGGCAAACAAATTACACATGTCAACCTGCGCCGACTACAGCGCTAGGTGCCGACCGGAAAGGCCTAAAGCGAGGGAAGAGGCTAGATATAGGACTCTGCGTAAGGTTGAATGGACCACGGAAAAGTGGGCGCGGAGCCCAATTATTGCGGTTTCTAGTGCGTTAAATTACTTTTTAAATATGATTCTGCAGCAAGTTCGAAAATCGGTTCGGAGTCAGCGCAAAAATTCTGCAATTTGGTCCCGAAACGAACGATACGAAAAAGTTTGTGGCGGCTAGGTAGCGGCTTTTCAACCCTGGCTAAAAAGAAAATGTATTTTCGCTATAACTTTCAACTAGCTGGCCGACCGGGCTGAAACTTTTTTTATGTCACCGGGAATTGGGCACGCGACCTCTGTGCAAATTATCAGTTTTTTTTGGGTAAATCGACCATGCTGAACACGATGGTGATGTCTTTGGAACGGAAAATGCCTTTAGCAAAAGTCGATTTTTGGAGCTATTTTAAATTCGATATTTAAGCTACTAAACGTCATTTTTGCGGCTTGGGACCCTGCCGATCGGATTCTACAGCGTCGAGTACACTAGGAAACATTCGGTTTGGCGCAAAATATAACGAGGCAGCCGGGTTACAAGAGCTACCGGGGTGTTGCCTTCTTTTTTCACGCTACTGTAGGTCCATTCCACCGTGTAATGACGTATCAAACATCCCCCGAAAAGCTTTCCCAAATCGAGTTATCCTCCGGACACGCAGACGGAAGTTGTATGTAAAGTGGCGGGCATAGACAAGATTTTTTATTTGTGGGATTTGTGGAGGCACTCATCAAATCGAGTCGCGTGTAGCTGATGAATCCCATCTTAGAGCGATTCCCTCTTTCGGTCCGGTCAATCGTTCAGCACAGGTATCGGAAAGCAACCATGGCGACTGAAACAAGGGCCGAGTTCCTTCCAGAGGAGTTGCAGTTACATCGTCAAATAAAATTGCACTGGTTTTAAAGAAGCACCGAAATAGAATATCGATTCCCATACACGATTTCGAAAATCACGATTTCGAAAATCACGATTTCGAAAAATCACGATTTTGAAAAACACCATTTTGAAAGTCACCATTTCGAAAAGACACCATTTCGAAAAGACACCATTCCGAAAATCACCATTTCGAAAAGTCACGATTTCGAAAATCTTCATTTCGAAAATCACCATTTCGAAAATTACCATTTGGGAAACACAGGATTTAGCAATAGCCTATTTCGCAGTCACAGAAAAAAACTGATTTTCGTTGGCTGGTTTGAGGTTCGGGGGTCTATTGTCCACTGGAGATATGATTGATTTCATTATAGACACCACTAAAACAATTTCTATTACATCACTAGTCATATCCGAGAAAAATAATGGTTCTTCGACACTGCAATTTTTATATCCGTTTGATGACCGGGTCTTTTCCAACTGGTGCTTTTTCGAAATGGTGTTTTTCGAAATGGTGATTTTCGAAATCGTGACTTTTCGAAATGGCGATTTTCGAAATGGTGTCTTTTCGAAATGGTGTCTTTTCGAAATGGTGACTTTCGAAATGGTGTTTTTCGAAATCGTGATTTTTCGAAATCGTGATTTTCGAAATGGTGATTGTCGAAATGGTGATTTTCGAAATCGTGTACGCCAACCTAGAATACCACTATCTTCCCTTATAGAACGCTTTCAATGAACACCATTTGTTTTTCGCGGCCCGCCCGGCCCGCGAAAAAGAGGGTTGTCGGGCCGGCCCGCGTCCAGGCCTGGGTTGTAGTGGCAAACCCTTGGTACTGGGACGTCCAAAAATAAAACCCCGAAATCGTACCAGGTGGATCAGCTGTTTCGAGTGAGGCAAGGAGTAGTTTTGGGCGAGAATTATCCGAATTCCGGTTCGTACGCATGGCGGGGCGCCTTTGAACATTCTACGCCCACGTCCTCCTTCTACGTACAACTGGAAAATTTTCTGTATGCCCTTAAATCAGCGTAGTGATCATGCGGTTGATTATGTGGCATCTTGCTGGAAAAGTCGAAAAAAAGGGGGGGTGGTTAAAATCAGGCCTGATGTTCTTCCTACCTGTACTTGTGTATTGAAATGGGATTGGCAGTTATTGAAGGATTCGATCAACCTCTCCAGCATCTTTTCCCTTGCACATAGATACTCCGAACGTTCTTCCTACAAGATTTTACTCTAGGGTTAGTAACATTCAACAGGCGGCAAGTATCCTCAATAACGCTACCTCGGGCGGCAAGTATCGGCGAAACAGTAGGGTGTGAAAGGCCACCAGGCGCCTTTGGCCGCTGGGCGGTGGACTCTGCGAGAAAGATCATTTTTGGGGACGTCGGTAGCTTTTAATTAGACATCGGTAGCATGAGCGATTTTCAAGGCCTCAAGAACGATGGCTTCGTCAAAAAGCAAAGCATCGTTGCACCTGGCGGGAGTCGAACCCGCACCGTTCGACCCACAGCCCGGCCCGCTATCCACTATACCACGCCCACCAATTGGGAAGAGGGGGCGAAGAGGAACCCCCTTCCCAACGCGGCGCGCCTATGTACGCCGGCGGCGTGTCCGCGCCCTGCCGCCAGCCGCAACCCCTGCGGATGGGTACCCCAGCGTCCCAGAGGCCTTTAAAGCCAAGGGCCGGGCGGCGGTGCATTTTGGCCCCAAAAATTAGCTTGCTCGCGGGCCTGCCGACGCGACCCCACGCGACCCCACTTCCGGCTGAGCGGGGCGCGAGAAAAAGCTCCTGGAAAGCCGCAGTCTAATTCCGCCGTCCGGTATTCGAAAAAAGAATCCGCATACCTTGACGATATGGTGAATCATTTGCTCGATGACTGCCAGCGACTCGAGACAGTCGGCTTTCACGCGATAAACCTGATTGAGGTGCAGCAGTGGTAGGTCTTTCAACTGAAAGTAAACGTTGGAGCATTTTGAACAAGAACAGTGTATGCGTTCAATGTCAGGATTCCTGTGGAATTGTCCGATAAATATTGTGACCTTTTCAAATGCATCCATGAGAATGGGCAAATAATCATCGGGGGCGTAGTAGCCAGTCGGCCAAATCGAAGCCTGAAAAACAGCTGGTTCTTATACGTTTAGGTTGAACCGAAAGTTTTTATAATATTTTCCCTTTTTATATGTTTGTTCTAGAAAAGGGTTCAGAACTAAAATGTGCTAGCGATCGACCATCGAATTCTCTATCCATCTCTTGCGGCGGAATCGCAAGGCTTTTCCGATCGAATCTTTTATTGCGGTTTGCCAGAAAACGAAAAGCGGCTTGTACCCACCGTTCACAAAACAGTTGCGGTTTTCTTTTTTTTTGCAAATTCCGGCATCAACTATCAGGTTGGAAGGTAAGGTAACGTAAAAATTTGATTTTAGACTACAAACTACCCAAATAAATTATCGCAGCACGGATACAAATCCCGGGGTGTCGAATTTTTGTAGTCTAGGAGCTAAGCAAATCCGAACTAAGCTCATCAAACTACCCCAGAATAGTTGCTTTTACGCCGATCGGGGCTGTCCGATCGGCAAAATTTTTTGACGCCATTGGGGCCATCAGACTTAAAGGGCTGCCGACGGCATGTGTCAATCCCCCCCCATCAACAAATTGGCAAGTAGCCAACAGGGCAGAGAGCGCGCCCAGGGGAGAGGCGCAGAGAAATTTTCTTTCCAGCGCGTAACCGATTGACTATGCCGTCGGCATCCCTTTAGCTAGCTCCAAAAGTTCTAATTTTTATCCTACATACTATTGAACTCAACAGATATATGGAAAAAGGAACAACCTTAGCGGTCCATAAAATATTTAGAAAAAAAATTTCCAAAGTTAGACTATAAGAACTTTCGGTTTAACCAATTTTTAGCAGCTAGTGCCCTTCTAGACGAAGCAGGGGGGTGAAAACGGGACAACCAGATGGTGGAATTAAACTGAAAAGGGCGGGTCGTCTGCAGTTACTCATGGTACGACCTAATATTTATTGACTGGACTTGAGAGGCCAACCTGGTATGGCCGCAATCCGTTCGGTATCCATTCGTCGAGGCGCAAATAGCTAAAAAAAAGCTGTTCAGATTTCGGCTATCCTGTAATCTGCGCAGCAACGTACGTACGTACGTAAGTTTCGTACGTAAAATATTTGAGCAAAACCGAAAGTTCTTAGGGCGAAAAGGCCTTGTTGAGTCGGCGTCTACATGTCGTAATGCCCTGTAAGGCACCCAATCTCTCGATCTCGGTCATTCTCTCCTCAATTTTCAAAATTAAAAAATCGAGGATGATCAAAATTCGATGAGGATTACAGAAAAAGCTTCAAAATTTTGAAATTCGCGTGTTTTCACGTGGAAACAGGGAGCGAAAGATCGTGCAGCGCGATCACGTTGCGCTCGCATCTGGCTATATTCCAGGAATTCAAATCAGAGCGGACTGTACCTTTAAGAGCCCCTGTTACGTTGATTCAAGCTTACCGGTCGTGGTGCCTGCCGGCCCACAGCGCGCCAAATTGGGCAGCGATCGTGATTGGGCAGCGACGGAAAAAGGACATTTTCGTGATGGCGGGTAGCGGACGGCCCTAAATATAGCGATTTAGCAGTCCCGAGGGGACATCTTTTTGACCGCTACTGTACCAATAACATGTGTTGTAAGCAGACGGCCTGACTAGGCAGGCTGGAGGTCAGCTTGTCAAGGATTCGAAGGGCACGGCGTTCATCCATTGAGATTGTGGATTCGAATCGGAGAACTTTAGGCCTGTTGTAGGCTGTAGTAGTAGTCTCTATGAAGTAGGGTCCAACGTCATCCGGGCTCCGTTGCCGGAAGCCACAGTCAATTGCATAGGACTCATCGCGTTCCGAGACTCCGATACTTATGTTGATGAAGTCGCTGGGCTGTAGCGTGGGATCTAGACAAAGGTTGTACCAACAAGGCCTCTCGGAACTGTTTTCCGATCTGGAAAAAGATATCTGGGAAAAAAAATTGCGTTGACTCGCGCTTGGCCAAGATTCTCTCTCACATACACTCTCTCGCTCGCTCGCTCTCTCTCTCTCTCTCTCTCTCTCTCTCTCTCTCTCTCTCTCTCTCTCTTTCTCTCTCTCTCTCGCTCTTGTGCTCTCTCGCTCTCCCTCTCTCTCGCTCTCTCGCTCTATCACTCACTCTCTCGCTCTCGCTCTCTCGCGCTCTCTCGCCCTCTCCCTTTCTCTCTCCCCAGAAAGGCTTGATATGGCATTTCTTTGGCCCTTTAATGGAGCAACCTGTTCTGCGTTAATGATGCACTTAATGGTACCTGGCATTTCTTCTATGTAGAAGCTGAAGGCGCAATGGCACTGAAGGCCCTAAAAATGACAGTTGACCTCATTCGTATTCTAGATGGCCGATTATATCGAATTCGCCTGGTCCCATCGCCAAACAGCAACCCGCCGGTATTTGCCGATCCCTCGTACGTTGCGGAAAGTTAGTTAAGATGGCTGACCTTGATAAAGAGTCGAACGAAACGGTACTGGCCGACGAGCAGAAAAACGTCCCCTGGCCGCTTGGAGAACACCTGAAATGTATGAATAAATAAATATGAAATGAATATGAACAACCCAAAAAATGCTGCGCACGAGATCCCTATTTCTCATCACATTCATATTTTGTGTCCCAAAGAAAAAGCCCCCCACGCTTACAAGGAGACGTTTTTGAGTGTCGTCGGGACTTTGGCACGGGACCAAGCCTATCTTGTGCAGAATTTTACGCTGATTCCGAATATGGTAACCGTTTTTGCCGAATAGCCATTTCTCGAAAGTTATGAACGATTTAAACCTCAAAACAGCCCGAAATCGGCTACTTTCAATAGTCATAAAAGGCTTAAAAATAGGTTTTAGACAAAACCAGATAGTATATCTTGTTCAGAAAAAATTCTCTATAAAATGTATCATCTTTTCCAAAATCATTGAAAAGTTGGAAAAATTTCCATCCATAATTTTACAAAAATTTTCAAAATTCCAGCATTTTTGAGTTAAGTTGCTTATTTTATAGAGAATTTTTTTCTGAACAAGGTGCACTATCAAGTTTTGTCTAAAACCTATTCCGAAGCCTTTTATGACTATCGAAAGTAGCCGCTTTTGGGCTGTTTTGAGGTTTAAATCGTTCATAACTTTCGAGAAATGGCTATTCCGCAAAAACGGTTAACATATTCGGAATCAGCGTAAAATTCTGCACAAGATAAGCTTGGTCCCGTGCCAAAGTCCCGACGACACTCAAAAACGTCTCCTTGTTAGCGGTCCGCAGTGATGTCCAAATTTTACGAATTAGGTATCTCGACGAGCTGAGATACCTTCTCCCGGATTTTTTGAATTCCCGAATTTTAAAGCCGATTTTTATTGTCTTTTGGGCATGAGATTCATGAATTAAGAAACCTTTTGCAGAAACGCAATTTGATCGGCGCCAGTCCCATCCAAGCTGTGTTTATCAAATGTGTTTCAAAAAGCGGGCCCTGGGCTGCCCGGCAATATGTGAAAATTTGGAAACTGGGCTTTCCTGAAAAAACCTGCGTGGGGAAAAGCATCGAAAATTCAGTTATTAAACGAAACGAAACGAAAAAAAAACGAAACGCAAAAGTGTTATTAAACGTTATAAAAATTCTGGAATTTAAAAAATCGGGGTGAACATGGTTTCTCAGTTCGTCGAGCACTTTCGATAGATACCTAATTCGTAAAAATCCGGGCATTCACACGGCGAGTTTGCAACAAGCTTCAAAACCGTGTTTTTATATAAGCACGCGTTTTACAACGCATTTAAAAACATCAAGCAACGGCCTCGGCACCTAATTGACGCCTACATCCGGTCGTTTTGCTTGCAGAAATTGATAGCTCGTCTGCAACCCCAAAAACCGCAAAATATACCAGGTGGTATGTAAAACGGCGCATTTCAATAAAAACTTGGTTTTGAAAATGGTTTCAAATTCGCCGTTTCAAGGGCTTTCGAATGGTGTAACTGCCATTCCGACCATTTTTCTGTGTTCGGTTAGAAGGTGTGTTTTTATTATTGGGACACCCTGGAAGTGAGCTTCGAGCTTCGAGCTTTTTTGCGACGTATAATTTCGACGAATTCGATGGTTACTTTCTAAAATAACTCAAACCTTTGACGTGGCGCGCAGCTGAACACGGGCCCCAAAGCTGAGCTTGCAATTTACGAGATGTTGAAGACGAGCCGGCAATCTGACATACGGTAGCGGTGCACGGCGGATCGACGGCTGCGCATCCATCCTCTTCCTTAAAGGGACATTCCGGTCTCGTTGATAATTTCAAGACCTTGAAATGGTCAACACTTTAGCATGCAAGGTTACGGTAGGTGCAAAACGTCGGGCAAAACCGAACCCGGACCAGTCGGCCTGGGACAAGCGCCATAGACCACTCGGCCATGGGAGGGACGGGCAGGAGAGAGGGGCGAGGGGTTATGAAGGGTGCCTGCGGCCGGCCGCCAGAGTGCCGAATTCCCGCCGCCGACCAGGGTTTCAGAATGAGAGCGGATTGTACCTTTAAAGGCACGTTCCGGGAAATTTTTATGGAAAAAAGCAAAGATTGTTGCCGTGGCCGGGCGTCGAACCCGGGGCCCCGTTCCGGAGGCACGGATGGATTGAGGGGCGCCCCAGGCCGCAAAGGAGGGAAATTGCCTGCCACGGCACGGGCAGGCAATGCGCGCGGTCCCTACGTCCATAGGGTGCGCACGTTGGGACGCGTACACGGCCCCTCCCTGAACGTGCGCTTTAACGGGTTTCGTTGTCTTGATCCTACTTTTCAACTACAGGGTGCCCGAATAAAAAACACCCCCCCACTAACTCGACGCAGAAGTATCGGGTCGGAATGATAGGCACACCATTCGAAAGCCCAGGAACCGGCGAGTTTGCAACAATCTTCAAAACCATGTTTTTATTGAAATGCACTGTTTTATAAGCCATTTTGCAAAACTTGCCGGTCTTTCGTGGTTGCATACGGTCTAATTGCCTCAATTTCTGCAAGCAAAATGACCGGAAGTAGCCGTTAATGAGATGTAGAGGCCGTTCTTTAATGTTTTTAAATGCGTTATCAAAATTCGCGTTACAATAAGAACACGGTTTTGGAGATTGTTGCAAACTGGCCATTTCAAGGGCTTTCGAATGGTGTAACTATTATTCCGATTCGATACTTCTGCGTCGAGTTTGAGGGGGTGTTTTTATTGGGACACCTACACATGGTCAGGGGTTTGAAAATCCAAAAATTGGACAAAAAAATCACGTTAAAACTCGAAGGGAGTTCCGCAAAAACTAATATGAAGGCCTCAACTTTATTTTCAATTCTCTATCGATTGACGTATGTTACATAGCAATTTGCCACCTGGGTCAAAAACATTTCCCTTATTTGGCTTTGGCTTAGGCATGGCTTAGGCTTGGCTTAGGCTTGGCTTAGGCTTGGCTTAGGCTTAGGATCCGCAGGGTAGGATTCCGGGAATGGCGGCAAAGGGCGAAGCAAATAACTTGGTTCCAAGGCCCAATTGGCCCAAGCAGTCGTGGTCAACCGAATTTAAACGGGCGCGCAAAAAAGTCGGCCCCTCAGGCCACGTTTTGACACTTGAGAACTGATCGTTGAGATAACGATGGGAAATCTGCCATCCCATTCAATGAGGGATTAAAGGAACATTATTTTCGTAAAGTTTGATACCTTATGTATCTTAAAAAGCACGTGGCTGAGTTTCGTAACCATGTTGTAAAATACAAACATACAAACATTGTAAAAAACAGTGCCCCCGCCTTCTTCAAAATTCAGCAAATTCCGGCCACAACGGAACTGCAAAATTATCTGTTGGGGATTTATTGCAGAGAGAAAATATGCGATAAATTCCAGCATCTCCAGCTTCTTCAAAAAATTGCAAATCTCGAAAAGTTAATCACAATTAATGCGTAGAACACAGTACGAAGAGATCAGACTCGTCAAGCGCATGTCTTTTTGGGTCACCGATATTGTTGAAAGCGGGAGAGAGAGAAGAGAGAGAGAGAGAGAGAGAGAGAGAGAGCAGAGAAATATATCGACTTTAAAGGTATTGGACGAACAAAAATAGCACAAAGAACGTGAACAACATGCCGGCGAACAGGTTGTTGATGGCCAGGTAGATGTGGCGCCAATCTTGGGTGTATTCCGGGTCATTTGAGGCGAGATTCCCGCCGCGGCCCTCACTAAATTTAGAGATTTTTGGAGCGAGAGAAAGAGAGAGAGAGAGAGCGAAAGAGAGAGAGAGAGAGAGAGAGAGAGAGAGAGAGAGAGAGAGAGAGAGAGAGAGAGAGCGCGGACTAACCTCTCATCCAGATGACGTTGGTACGATGCCCCGGGTTCCGGCTCGATGCAGCAGATTAGCCTGCAAATTTGTGATTGTGTATTTTTGTAAACTGAACGACTTTTCAAAATTGAAGCTGTTTTTGGGCCCTACCGGTTGATGACCTTCGCAAAAAGGTAGACACGATGAGTTGGGGGTACGGTACGCTTCACCCGAGATACGGCCATCATGCTGACCGTCACTAGGATCGAGAGGAATGTGATGGTGAAGAGGAACTCGTAGAAGACGTCTGAAACGCAGAGTATCGCGGAGTCGCTCTCTCTCACTCTCTCACTCTCTCTCTCACTCGCTCTTTCTCTCTCTCTTTCGCTCTCGCTCTCTCTCTCTCTCGCACTAACTTACAAATCTTTGGCTTAGCCCCGGCGAAGCCATTGGGCGGAGCGATCGAGACGAGGAAGAGGAAGCAGGCGGTCTGGAGGCACAGTGTCAGCAGCTTCACCCAGGCTTGAGTCTTCAGCTCGCCGAAGAGCGGCGAGACGAGCATGATCAGGGTGGCGATCGTGACTGGTAGTCTCAAAGCGAAAGCGACGGTGCTCATCTTCTTCTCGGCATGCACGCAGACACGGAGCATCTGAAATCGAGGAGCATTAGCGAGAGAGTGGTTGGGAGAGATAGAGAGATAGGGAGGGAGAGAGCGAGAGAAAGAGTGAGAGAGAGAGGGAGGGAGAGAGAGGGAGAGAGATAAAGAGACAGCCGGAGAGATATCTTACCTCCAAGGCCGCAAATGGTGCCACCTTGACGACCCCCGTGTTCCGCATCTCCTAAAAACAAAAATGTTGGAAAAATTTCGAATTACACACGCTTTTCGGGATGGGGACGATCACGGAGTGCGAGGTGATAGTGCGACTCTAGAAATATGGGTAGAAGAGAATTACCGATATAAAAACCACATAAACCAAGAAACTCGGATTCATACGGCTTTCCAGGGAACCTGGCAGCGCGAAAATCGACCACTTGCGTCCGCTAGGTCTCACGAAGCTGTCGAGACCTAGTGGAAGCAAGGGTCGATTTTCGATTCTAGGGCCCGTAAAGCGATTTTAAAAACATACGTCAACAACCCAGGCCGTGTGGTCCTCCTCCATCGCGTAGACCGAGTCGATCAGATGCCGGGTCGCGGGCGGCGCCGCTCCCACGGCGTGCTCCATTTCGTGGTTTGTTTTCGGCTGAAAATCCCAAATGATCTCTGCTAGCCTGCCCCTTCCATTCCCAAATGATCTCTGCTAGCCTGCCCCTTCCATTCCCAAATGATCTCTGCTAGCCTGCCCCTTCCATTCCCAAATGATCTCTGCTAGCCTGCCCCTTCCATTCCCAAATGATCTCTGCTAGCCTGCCCCTTCCATTCCCAAATGATCTCTGCTAGCCTGCCCCTTCCATTCCCAAATGATCTCTGCTGGCCTGCCCTCTGTTTCCCAAAACTAACCAAAACATCGAAAGCCAGCGTCACTTCCTGCTCGAAGCCACTGAAAAAGACGCAGCAGTTGTTCTCCTCTTCTGGGTATCTGAAAGATGCTGAGAAAATTGTCTCTAAGATTTTCTGCTAGCCACCAGAAACCCGCAATGTTCCTAAATTCTCTAGAATCCCTGCTAGATACCTTGAATAGTCCACACTGCAGTATGAATCATAGCTGAAGTGCAATCGTGCATAGACCCGGCCGTCTGACAGAAGATCGACGTCGGCTAAGGTGGTTATGCAGGCCAGCGGGTCGTCTGCGCAGCGGCTGTAAAGTGGATTTTAGTGTAGTCTACGGTGTGCCTAAAATTCCTCAAGAATCTTTGCTGGATAGCACCCCCTGGAAGTTGGAGGCAAGGTGAGACAGAGCGTGAGAGAGTGATCGAGAGAGAAAGAGAGAGAAAGAGAGAGACAGAGAGAGACAGAGACAGATAAAGAGAGAGCAATATATATAGAGAAAGAGAGAGAGAGCGAGAGAGAGAGAGAGAGAGAGAGAGAGAGAGGCGAGATAGCGAGGAGGGAGAGAGAGCGCGAGAGAGAGAAAGATAAGATTGTAAACTTCCACAAAAATCTTTGCCAGATAGCCCCCTATCAAAAGCCCAGATGCAAAACTGAAAATATATAAAAAGCCAAGGAAAAAAGTGCAAAATCCCGCGATAATTAGACAGGCTGAATTGCCCTTTTTACCCTGAAAACTCAATGGATTACGGTAGCAGGTGATTCCCTAAAATGTGCCCTTTCCCACCCGAAATCCTTCAGTTTTGGGCTCCAGATGTGATGGGTGTCGTGCAGAGTGAATTGTTCGATATGCCACTCGGACAGGTCCCACGTCAATCGCGTGTCGAGCCAATTCTGAAAATCGATCGATAGCTGGGGTACGGTGGGCTTTAAAGGGACGGGGAGTCGAAAAATAAACTTTTCAAACTATGGTATTCGCCCAAAATCCATTTTTCTTACAGTATTCCCAAGAAAAGTTGGCATTTTTCTCGAAATCACGGCAGCTTTCAGACAAAATCGCCATATTTTTTCGTCTACAGCAGCCCCAGAAATTGCCGTAATTACGATACGTATTTTTTGGATTTCTACAAGGCAGGAATTTTTCTGAAACGGGCTTTAATTGCAGTAATTACGGTCCAAGGAAAATAGCTAGCCTTGGGAAGAGGTCATAAAGTAGTCATTTTCTGGAAACTACAGCCAGCCTCTGATTACAGTACGCTACGCACGACTACGGTACTTCGGAGAAAAATCGCCCCGAAAAAATGCTAAATCTCACCAAGTAAATGTCACCCTCGATGCGGAACTGGTAGGTGGACTGGGGTTTCTGAAAAAAAAGCTCAATATCTTCTGGATCTACGATACTATTCGGACGACAAGGTACTAGCTACGCTACCGTATTAGCTACCGTATCCCAAAACGTACCAGCTGCACGCGGTGGATGAGAATATCCTCGATTTCTACCCGCAGAACTCGCCCCGTCTTCTCATCCCCGTCGGTTGGCGGGGCGCGGTGGATTAGCGAGTTGAATTCGTTGCTTCTAAACCATAAAACCGTTTTTAAGTTATTTTGAGCATTTTCTAGCACGCTTTTCAATTCAGGAAAAGGGTGTTTTGAAGCAAACGGACTAAAAAACGTTGACAAAAGCTTTTTAGGAAAAAACGGCGAAAATATGACTTTTTAAAGTTATTTTTGATTTTTTGGAATGTTTCAACGTTACTTTTCATTAGCTGGTTCTGATCATATAACAATTTTTAGATTTGTATACTTTTCCAAGCATATTTTTAATTTTCGTTAAGTTTTATAAGGTCTGAACATCGTTAAAAAATACCGGCCAAAAACCCTTGAAAATAGACAATTTAGATTCTTTTATTTGCTTTTCGCAACTTTCCACAAGCTGGAACTTATAAAAACCACAGGCTGCGCCCATTTTTTCACTCCAAACTCACTTCTCGTACTCCTTGTCGATCAAGTAGTAATATAGACAGTCTTCGAGGTCTCCGATCTGCTTCACATACTCCTTGGTGATGAATTCTGAACAAAGACCACGTTGAAAAAAATAGATTTTGCTATGTAACGCTTGTTTTTTAGGCCATTAACGATTCAACTCGCTTCACGCTGCTCCTATTAGCGACAAAAAGCCCAACATCGGTTAAATAATCTTAGAAAACGTGGGTAAATTGGGAGATATATTTTCGACGACCCTTTAAGGACTTTTTCAGATTTACCCGGATTCTCGGTAAAGTTCTTCTTCCAGGGACAAGCGTCCGGCAGGCCATAGACTAATATAAAACTAGCGAGCAGGCTAAAGCCCTGAAATATCCCGCGCATCGTCGTCGAATTCACAAGATTCCAGGGACAAGGTTTCGCGCGCTGTTCCGCGGGCCCTTTGTGCAATTAGGGCCCAGTGTATGTGGTGGGGGCCGCTGTGCCGGTGGGGTCAGTTGCCCCGGAAACCCGGTGTGCTTCACCGGGCCCGTCGGCTTTCGTCTCCTCGCATTTTTGCACATTGATTCTGAAGCCGGGGGCTGGTGACAATGAGCCGCCCGGGCAACGGTACCAGTTTTTCTCTTGAAATCCCCACGAGAAATCACTGGGTTCATTTGAGCAGACTTCAGCCGTCACGGCATGTTTTGATGGAAAAGCTTCCTACAGGCAGCACTTCGCAATCAAATTAGTGTCTTGGCCACCTGAAAAAAATATCAACCTGTTACAACCGTTTATTCGACACGATTAAAAACCTCTGTATATATCGTTTTTCAGCTAGTACATACAAAACGAAGGAAGGAAAAGTACGGGGGTGGGTGATGTGATTAAGGCGGGCTGCTCACAACAAATCGATAAACTATCTATAGAGACGGGGTGTATAAGAGACCTAATTTAATGGAGCCACATTTACAAAGAGCACAAAATACGGAGGGGCAGGTTCGTGGTGTGTCGCTTTACAACCAGTCGGTCGCTGCGCGCACGCGTCCGCCTAGAAGTTCTTCTCGGGCACCTCGTAGCCGCCGCGCTGGAACAGCTTCCAGAACAGTGGGCCGCCCCAGTGGCCGGCAGAGCTGTGCACGGGCGCGCGGTTCTAAACACATGAGATTATTTCGAAAAACGAATTCCAGGCACATTTTGGGAACTCTTTGGAACAACAGAGTTTCCGGCCTTGCGCCCAGCTCAAACAGCTCAAGATGAAAAAAGGAGCGACACTTCTTCGAAATTTTGTGTTTCGAAAATATCAGTTCCGTCGTAAGATGCTCCCAAAAGCTTTGATTTCCGGTAACTTTTTACAAATATTCAAAACCGTTTCGAATCAAGCCGAGCTCAAACCACAAACTGCAAAATCTTAAAACCACAAACCTGAAGGCCAGCCTCCGAGATGCGCGTGTAGTGGAAGGCGGTGCCGAGCACGGACGCGACGAGGAACGCCGTGATAGCGATCGGGAAGCTGTGCTCTGCAAAAAAAAAACTTGGAATAAGCTCGAATCGCCTTACTCAATGTTCCCAAAGCGAACGCAGAGGCGCCGGCCGCATAGTACTGGTTGTAGATGTCGTCCTAAAACAGAAATTGTTAAACAATAAATTCTGAATTTTACCTTATCACGGATGGCCGAAGCAAACGACAGCGTAAAGGCCCACGATCCGGCGACGGCGAGCGGAATTGGGGCCAGTTGGGAGTATCTAAATTTGAGATAAAATCAATGTTTTCCAATTACCTGGCAAAATACATGCGCGGCCTGAAGTTGACTGGCGGGTAGCCGACCGGTGGGTTGGCCTTGATGTGGAACATTGTGTACGGGATCACTAAAAACATTTTTTTTAGGTTTAACCTTTTCACAAATCAAAAAAGCAAAAACTCACTGAACGCAGCGGTGTACTTCATCGCGGCAAACGCCTTCTCGTGCGGGGCGGCGTTCAGCGGCTTGTCGAAGAAGCGAGGGCCCAGGTGGGACCTGGAAATTATGATTTGAAAAATTGAGTAAAAATCCTCACCAAGAAACCGGGAAGAAGTTGCCGGTACCGATCAGACTGTGCTTCCGGTACACCAGATCGCTCATCGTCGGGCTGACGTCGAGCCCTGGGTGCTCCTTGGATAGGTTCCACTTCTCGGCGATGGCCTTGTATTGGTGCGAGCCCTTCATCACCTGAAGAACGACAAAATATTTTTGTACTCCTTCTGATGCCCAAAAACAAAAAAAAAACATCAACAAACCTTTTCCTGGAACTCGCGCAGATCCCCGGGCGTGTCGGCCTTGATGCTCAAATCCTTGTGGCGCGTGCTGTCGAGTCCCATCGGGCCGGACAGCGATGTTCCGTCAGGGACCTACAATATAGAACTTGTTTAAGGGATCACACGTTGATCGAGGCAAAAACAGACACTGAATGGCGCTGCCGGGGATTAAATATACGTAACACGTGATTATCTGCTCGCTCTATTGCTTTAATTTTAAAATTTTTATACCTTCGCATCGTACCAATCCGGGTCCTCCTCCTTGTACCGGCTGCCGACCATGCGCCATTTGCCGTGTCGTACCACGTCGTCCTTCAGCCCGCACTCTTTCCACCAGTCCGGGCGGCCGCGACTAAAAAGGAATATTATTCAGAAAAGACAGATCAGGAAATAGCCACTTTCGAATTTTACACTTTTTTTAGATAGACAACCAGGGTTGAAAAGCCGCTTCGCGACTTTTCAACCCTGGCGCCGTCTCGGACCCCATACTATTCTGCCCTTTGCGTAAGTTGTCCTTCATCCAGAAGACAAAAAAAAATGAAAACCAACCCCTTCTGCCTCTTTATATCGGCGAAGGCCCACTTCCTGTCTATGCTAATTATTCCTAACAAAGAGGTTTTTACAAAAACCTAACATTAATAGCGAAAATGGCTAATTTTTAAAAATCTGATATGTGTGCAGTCTTCCCTAGACCATTACGCACCTAATGACGTATCATACGTAGCCTAATGTCCCTCCGTTCTTGAGATATCCTCCGGACAGACAGACGGAAGTGGATGCAAAGTGGCACACACACACAAACACACACACAGACACTATTTTTTTATATATAGTAGGATTCATACAATTTTTTAAAAACCCACTATTCGCGGCTACTCCATAGCCCTATCCACGGCGGTTTTTGCGTGGTGTAGGTCGCTTCGAGGTGCTCCCCGTGGCCCATTACTACAAATATTTGAATAAATGTTGTGCCGTCATTAGAGTGAGGGAGCGGCAGGCCTCCTCAGGCTTTCTTGGGCCGAATTGCATTTCCGCGCCTGCCGACGCCTGGCGGAAGCCTAAGGATTTACGCAGGCTTTTTATGCAATGCGCAAAAACATGTTAATCTGGTTCCTACATCTAAAACGTTCGTATCTTTGACGCAATAACAAATTACAAGGATGCCGAAGGTGGGAAAAATATAGGCAGGATGTCAGGAGAGCCAATTGCATCCCCCACCCGTTAGAACCGACTCTTGACTTTTGTGTATCCGCGTGCTATTAACGTATCGTGCCGTAAAGTTTGTCAAAGACAGTACCCTAACTTTGTAGAATATTCTTGGACCCAATACAGCTCTTCCACCCCCCGGAAGTTTCAAAAAAAAATCCTTATTTGTTCGGCAAAACTTGGAATATTCTACGACTTTACATAAAATTTCCAGATAAAGCCTGACTAATTAGAGGTCAGGCGTGCTTTGCATAGCCCAGGCTCAGCCCAGGCGATGCAAATTAAAAAAGCCTGAGGAAGCCTAGGCAAGCCTAGGCTTTAGCCTAGGCCTCCCTCACTCTAGCCGTCATACTTATTAAGTTACTGATAAAAACATATTCCACAACGGTCCATAAGACGCGAAAAATTTGATATGAATGGGAATCTAATCCCAAAAAATTCGCACCATAGCACGAAATAGCTTATGAAAAGTTTATTGGTGATTAAACGTTACAGCAGCCAACGGGTGATAAAACAACAAAGCCACAAAAAGAAAACAAAACAAAGAGTATCAACAAAGCAATTCAGGAGATACATGGAAGGGTGTAGAAAGCAAGGAGGAGAACGTGTGTGGTGTGTGGGCTGAGCACGCGCGTGGGGGTAGGCAACATATAAAAATGGGCATCGTGGTGGGGAGACAACAAGGGTGGCAATTTGATAGGGGGTCTAGTTTAGCACGGGCGATTGTCTTTGACGCGTTGACGTGGCGCGTTCTTGATGATGTTGTCGACGCGGATGACTTGTTCGGCGGCCTCGGCGGCTGCGGACAGCATGCACATCTTGACGTTGAACGACTCGATGATGCCCATCGCGGCCACGTCGGCAACGATACCGTTTTCGATATCTAAAAAATTGTTGAAAATTTGGAGCGCAAAATTACCAAGTCCCATTTTGTGGTTGCCCTTGGCGTGCTCGGCGCGCAATTGGGTGACCAGCTCGGCAGAGTCGAGGCCAGCGTTGTCGCAGATGATCGTCGGCAATTGGGCCAGAGCACGGGCGAACGACTCGATGGCGAGCGCCACCTTGCCGGCAACCTAAAAAGAAAATATTAGATAGAAGAAATCTATTTTCAGCCGTAATCCGGCATAAACTCGAGGGCAGCGAGAAAGACGAAAAGCCGGAATGACGGAAGCCCAAACGACTCAAGGCAAAAAGACTGGGTCTAATTTAGTCATTCTGGCCGCATCATCCTGGTTTTTCGTCATTTTAGCTTTTTTCTAAAGAGATCACCTTCTGTGCACCAATCGCGACAGCCGAGCTCATCAAGATTTCGCTGGCTCCTGCCCCGGCGACAGTCTTGGCCTCCTTGATGTGGGTGACGAGCACGCAGAGGGCATCGTGTAGGGAGCGTTCGGCCTCGTCGAGGATCTGTTGCGTCGCTCCACGCAGCACAACTGAGCAAGCCTCACCTAAAAACGAGGGTTTTTATGACTAGAAAGATGCGTACCAAGTGGGACACCGCTGAAGCGCATCAGACGATCTTCTCCAATCATCACCTCCTCGATCAGCGCGCACGTGCCGAGCTTGACCGTCTCCTGCGAGTCGAACGTGGACACAATTTCACCACCTACAAAAACAATTTTCGATTGCTAAACCGGTTTACCTAGAACAAGGGCCAATCGCTCGATTCCCTCAAAATCGGCGTGCTCGATGGCCATCACCTTGGCGTCGGCGAAGAGCTGCTCAGGGTAGTTGTAGATGAGCTGTCGGTTGATGAACACGTCGCATTTGTGCGAGAGGATCTTGTCAACCTAGAAAAAGCGGAAATGCGAAAAGGTTTCAATATCTACCTTGTCCTTCATCTTTTCCTTCTCAGCCACCTCCATCTCGGCGACCTTCGCCACGGAGTCGACCCTCACCTTGCTGCCGAACACTTTAACCTAGAATAGTTGACTTTAGAACCCGATTTAAAAACGCATACCTTATCAGTGTCCATTGGAGTGTTGGCGATCAGAATCTTCGGGTTCTCGACTCGGCGAGGCTGCGCGTGTCCGGGCAGCTTCTCGAGCAAGAAGCCCTCGTCCAAATAGGATTCGGCCATCGAGCCGCCGAGCTTCTTGATGATGTTGATGGACTCCAGGTTTCCGGTGCCCTAGAAAGCGTTACTTTGGCAAGACAAAAAAGATTACCTTGAGTCGCAAAACAGCATCGACAGCCAGCTCGGAGAAGTGGTCGCTGTGCTGGGAGAGGATCTTGGAGCCGAGGGTGGTGCGGGCGATCTTCAAAAGGTCTTCACGCAGGTTAGCGCTAAAAAGAGACTCATCGAAATTTCGAACAATCTTACCCAGACTCGATAGCACTCTCCTTTAGCGCTTCCTGGGCAATCTTGAGGGCTTGTCGATATCCGGTGATGATCGTCTGCGGGTGGATACGTTGGGCGACCAGCTTCTCGGCTTCACGCAAAAGTTCGGCGGCCAACACGGTAACGGACGTCGTCCCGTCTCCGACCTCATGGTCCTGCGTCATTGAAATGTCTGAAAAGAGGAAATCGTCGATGAGAAAAGAGGAAGGCCCTCACCAATAAGAATCTTGGATGACGGGTTGTCGACGCCGATCGACTTCAGAATCGTCGCCCCGTCGTTCGTGACCTTGATGTTTTGATGGTCGGGCGTGCCGGAGATCAGAATTTTGTCCTGAAATTGGAAAGTTAAAGCGGGTGGTCAGAAACGTACCATCCCCTTGGGGCCCAAGGTTGATTTGACGAGATCCCCGATCGCGATCGCGCCGACGAAGGTGCTGAGCCGGGCGTGCTCACCACGCTCCTCCTGCGCGTTGTCTTTCAAAATCTGGACGGGAAGCATCGTCTGAAAAAAGTATGTAAATACCTGTAGCGATCCGGTAAAGAAAATGCTTGCAATGGAGAACAAAGAAAGGCAAAAATACAACAAAAATTTGCGATTATCTAAGCGACAAAATCTGGAAAAAAACTAATAGGAATCCAGGGGGCAAACGAATTTGATTACTGAAATCCTAATCCCTGAGAAACAGGATACCCGAAAAAGATTCCCAATGCAGAAAGATCCAGTGTAATCCAAAATTCTAGACCCTTCGTGAGCGCACGGAGAGCCAGTGGGCAAAGGATGGAGCTGTAATGGGGGTTCCCAGAGTTTACCCGCCGGATGCTACTACCCTAGAAGGAAGCCCAATAATGTCGAGCTTCCTGGAATTCCTTCAAAGCAACAAGCATAAAACGTTCCGGCCCAAGAAGAAGTTCTCGCCAGGGACGATGCGGTATAATCTGCATAAGCAGGCCGTCGCCACGCTGCATTCTGGAGTCGACTTGAAAGCCGCGGTCCGAATGCCCGCTAATGAGAACTTGGACGACTGGATTGCCGTCCATACTGTCGACTTCTTCAATCGGATCAATTTGATGTACGGGACGATAGCCGACGCGTGCACCCCGGCGACTTGCCCGACGATGTCAGGTGGACTAAAGTATGAATACCTATGGCAAGACGGCACTGCCTATAAGAAACCGACAAGATTACCCGCACAGGAATACATTACCAAACTGATGGACTGGATCGAGACGCGCATCAACGACGAAAACTTGTTCCCGACGTCGATGGATGTACCATTCCCATCGGACTTCCGGCAAACTTGTAAAAAGATCTTGACCCGGCTCTTCCGCGTGTTCGTTCATATCTACATCCACCATTTCGATCGCATCGTCCAGCTGAGCGCGGAAGCCCACGCGAACACGCTGTACAAGCATTTCTACTTCTTCGTCACAGAGTACAACCTCGTCTCGACGAAGGAGCTTGAGGCACTAAAAGATATGACGAACAAGCTATTGGCCTGCCAGGGCCCCGGAAAACCCCGATAATCTTTCCTTCTTTTTCTTTGAATTGTTGTCTTTGCAAAACTCATGAAGTCACGATTTCGAAAGCGCAAAACGAACCATTCTAGTACCCCTTTCGCTATCACGATTTCGCAACCCCCTTCCCCCCGCTCTCTGCAAGCGAGTGTAAGAGGAAAAATTTGGTAAAAACGCGAATAGAAAATCTAGAAAGATACTAAAACAATAAGAAAACTGAGATGACTTCATGAGTCCGCCATGAATCAACCATATGAGCTTCTCGCTTCCCGCGCCATGATATTCGCTTGGCTTGCCCGCATTTATCCCCAGCCCTCCAAATGGTGTGCCGTGCATAAGATTGTATTAACTGTATGAACCGACAAAATCCCCGTTTTCAAGTCATATGAAAAGATTCCAATACGCAGGGTCCCCCAATTGCATAATCCCGTTTCCCCCAAACTTTGCCCTCCTTCACTTTGAGTTGCTTGCCCAGTCAAAAATGAATAAATTTTAGGGGACGGCGCATTTCCCATTCAGAAGGGATGAGATGAAGGAATGAAGTGAGAGAATGGGCCGAAAGGTTAGTTCAGAAAAATGTATCAAAAAGATGAAAAAATCAATCAAAGATATAAAAAAAAGAAATGAGAGAAAATCGGAAATCCGGGTTGAAAACGACTACACGATGCTCCAAAAGACGATATCCGTCATTGTAATGCCTTGTAGCGTCACAAAATCCCCTTCGAATTTTTTCTTTTTTTTTCACGCGAAACTAACGAAAAAGGATTGCCACCAACTTTTGGCCTACAAATGTTGGGGAGAAGCTCTCTTTGCTTCAAGGATAAGCCGGTCCCTTCTGCCTCATCCTCTCCAAGTTGCCACGATGATCCAGAGGATTCGGACGCTGATACTTCGCGCCAGCAACGACATCAAGTGTGGACCGAGAACAAGGTACAAATTTAGTAATCTTTTTAAGCGCTTTTTAGGTCCTCTTCACCGCGCTAGCCGCTCGCTTCTGCCTGGTGCTGTACTCTGCCGTCCATGATTACATGTTTCAGGCAAGAAACTTACCAATTTTTCATCAAGTTTTTAGCCCCGTTTCACTGACATTGACTATGATGTCTTCACGGACGCTGCTACTTATGTAGCTGCTGGCGAGTCTCCCTACAAACGCGCCACTTACAGGTACTATATTTGCTCGAGTTTTATGAGCCCGTTTTTAGGTACACTCCAGTCCTCGCGTGGATCTTGGTCCCGAACGTCTATTGGGGGAACTTTGGTAACCTTGTGCAAGATTTATAAAGCTTTTGTTTAGGCAAGTACCTCTTCTGTTTTGCGGATATTCTCGTGGCGTGGTTGATTTTCCGGATCGATCACATCCTGTCGCGTGGACGGTAAGTTTCTTGTAGCAAAAATAAATTTTTTGTTGAGGAATAAGAGCATCATCTCCTACGTGGTCGTCTTCTGGCTGGCCAACCCGCTCACCGCCATCATTTCGGCACGTGGCAGTTCGGATTCGTTGGTCTGCGCAGCTGTGCTATTCGTCTTGTATCTAATTTGTAAAGGAAAGGTAAAACATGGTTTTGCGGCGTTATTTTCTTGCTTTTTAGTGGTTCTATGCAGCCTTGGCCCACGGAGCTCTGGCCATCCACCTCAAGCTGTATCCGATCATCTACCTCCCTTCCGTGCTCATGCTCATCATTTCTGAAGGTAGGACTTGCCCGATCTTATACAGGATTGTTTGCGTGTTAGGTGAAGACATTCGCGAGATGTGGGCCAATTGTTCATTCTTCGGCTTCGTCCGCCGTTTCTTCAACCTGCGAGCTATCGGTTATGCACTGGTAATGTTATCCAGGTTTTTTTAATATAATTTTTAGACTGCCATCGGCTCATTTGCCTTGATCGTCTTCGGACTCTACCAAATCTACGGGCAAGAATTTCTGGAGGAGTTTCTGCTCTACCACATCGGGCGCCGAGACATCAAGCACAACTTCTCGCCGTGGTTCTACCTCCTTTACGTGGTGAGGAACAGTTTTGACTTCTGAATGATCTTTTTTAGGCTCAAGAATCCCCTCTGTCCGTCTACATTGGATACCTGCCATTCTTCATCCAAATCGCGTCGATCCTCCACGACGCCGAAACGTAAATTTGTGACGTTTTACCAATTTTTAGTTTTAGGCTTTACTTTGACCTGCCGATGTGTTGGTTCATGAGTACTATGCTGTTCGTGGCCGTCAACAAGGTCTCTACTAGCCAATACTTTATCTGGTATTTGGTCTTCTTGCCATTCGTCGCTTCGCGGGTCGATGTAAGCCTTTTTATGTCAGCGCTGATGAAATCTTTTTTAGATGTCACTTAAACACTGTATCATCCTGATCTCGTTGTGGTTGTCCGCTCAGGCAGCTTGGCTCGGGCTTGCCTATCTCTACGAATTCAAGGTAAATCGAAGTTTGTTTAACCACATTTTTGATTTCAGGGGTATGACACGCTGTTCTACGTCTGGATGGCAAGCTTATGGTTCTTCTTCGTCAACATGGTGATTCTGATCGCCATCGCTAACAGCTACCGGAGGAATGTGCGAGACCAAGTGTTGATGGAACAATTCGCCGTCAAGAAGAAGAAAGAAGAATGATATCTTGATCTTATCTTGATCTGGTAACAATTGGTCTTATATCGTGGATAAATGTTTTCCCTGCTTTATTTGTGGAAATATTTGGTTGGCTTGGTAAGAAGCGAAAGTACTTGAAAGTTCTAAAAAGTTTTTTGGTATCTTGAATGCTCGTGAAATGGGGAAAATGACTATGATTAGGATGGTGTTGTCAACCAGCCATCGTTGCTTTTTTCTCTGGTTACACTTGGCTATAATTCTGCTCGTGCTCGTCATCTATTTGGATAAGGAGGACGAACACAAGGTGAGGTTTATAAATCAAAACCATCAAAAGACTTTGGAAGACGCGACAAGTTGAAGATTGTTTCAGGACCCGTTGCTGTTATTTGGCTATCTCGGCCTCAGTGATGGTATTACGATTCTCGCACTGAGCATCAATATCATTCATAACGTAAGTGGAAAAAAAAAGAAAAAGCGCAAAATACCCGAAAATAGAAATTTGAGAACGTTATTTTTAGGTCTTGAAAAGAAGACTCGATCTGATGCAGGCGAATATCAACTATATCGCTATCATCCTCGTCTTCAAGGAGAAATTCGTCTACTTACTCGTCATTTTCTTGAAGGTAAGTCCTAAAACAACTTTATTACGCATTCTGACTAGATATCGAAAAAGTCAATTCAGAAACCTTTCAGATAATTTTCCAAGCGATGCTCTACCTGAAATTGACGCACGGCGCAGACGGGCCGGGCTTTTTGCTTCTGATGATTCCGCTTTGGGGCATTTTGGCCATCGTACTGTTCGATTTGACGAAACGGATTGTTAGTATCCAAACCGGGTGCCGGGATGCTAGTATTTTGGCGCAATTCGGAGAAGCGCACGCCGAGCCTCCAGGGACGGTGCCGATGGCCACCGTCAATTTGTTGAATCATTGATGCTTTTTGTCTTGATCGATTTTTTTCCATGATCTCTCCAAATTGCGTGTACTTTTCTAACTTGCGGGTATGACTTTAAAATGTGTATTTTTGCGTGCTGGTAAACATTTTTTCAGAAATGAAGTAGTTCAAGCCCTTTATCCACATTATCACAGCAAAATATAAGGGTGTCATACTTGAGGGTAGCGTAATATTGATTGATTCATTAAACCAGCACTACTTTTTGAAGGAAGTGAGGATAAAAAAAGATGAGGCACACGCTGTTATCCGCTAATTTAGAACCCGAGCGAAGAATATCAACTTTTTGAAGGAATTGGGATATAGCAGACAGCTTTTTTAAGCTAATTCAAAGAGAGGGCATTTTTTCAAGTTCAAGGAAATTCAAGAGTTTTTTGAAAGCTTTTCTGGTTTTTTAAACAAGTTTGAACGTCGTTTTTTTGATTTTTTTTAGGAAAAAAGACTTGGCTGACTCGTTTACAAAGCGACAGAGAAAGCTGAAGGTAGTGTACGATACATTTAGGCACATTTTAGATTCCAAAGCAACGGGATGAAGCTCATTTCCGAATCGCCATCGCGTTGAACACCTTGATTTTCTGGCTTTCAAGCCTGAGGTCGGCGTGCTCGTAGACCAGACGCCAAACGTAGGGCACGAAGAACTCGATCGTGTTCTCGTCCTCGACGTATCTGAAAGAGTTTTTATTAAATTAGGTATGTCTGATTTCTAGAATATTTTAGTCAGAGCAGGCTAGCAGAGATCATTTGGGAATGGAAGGGGCAGGCTAGCAGAGATCATTTGGGAATGGAAGGGGCAGGCTAGCCGAGAATCTTGCGGAATTGCCTTTTCTCTACCTACCTAAACTTCAGCTCCGGGAACTTTTGCAGCTTGTCCATGCGCCAGATAAGAGCCTCCTCCTCGATGACGGTGATCAGAGACCCGCCTAAAACGTTGCGTGGTAAAACGTAACGTAATCAGGCGTAGTCAAACGTAGCGTAAAGTAGCGTCGCGTCGCGAGCTTAGTGACATCGACAAACAAGCACCTTTGACGCCATCAATTTTAGTAGAAAAGTGATCGATGACCAGCGAGATGTTCTTCAGAAGATCCTAAAAACATAACATTCCAAAGTTTTTTTAATGCTGTAAAGGTGGCGAGCTAGCAGAGGCGCTTTAGGAAAAAGCGTTTAGGCAAACCTGGAACATTGGATGTTGCCGGAAGCTGTCGAAGAGTTCTTTATGATACAGCAGGGTGTAGATGAGGTTGGCATTGTGTCGTAACCGCACGCTAATGGCGCTGTTTAAGATTTCGAGCAGGGTGCGGATGCCCTCTTCGAGAACTGTGACGTCGTCTTGCTAAAATAAGAATAATTTTAGACTATTTTTTTTCGTTCTCTCTCTCTCTCTGTCTCTCGCGCCTACCAAGTTTTCGTCGCTCTTCTCACTCTCTGGGCTGTCGTTTATCGAATTTTGCTTCACGGTATCGACCAGCTTGACGTAGCGCTTATTTAGGGTCTAAAATCAATCGATAATTAGAAATTTTCTTTTAAACCGACCTCAATTAGCCCAACAACCTTCTGGCACACGATCGGGCTCAGGTTTTTGAAGCAGGACGCCATGTTGGCCAGCGCGGCTAGGCAATTCGTGTGGAGATAGCGGTCCTCAAAAAAGACGGATTTTTTTCTATCGCTCTCTCTCTCCCCTTACCTTTGTCCTCAACACGTTCTTCTTCAAAGTTTGAATGAAAACAATAATCGTCAGGCCGCCGAGCGAGATTTCGCCAATCGGTCGATTCGGGTCGATCCAGTCGCCTCGAACCATCTGAAAAGCCTCTGTTTTATGTGGTTTTTATAATTTCTTATTGTTATCCCGAAAAATCCTCAAATTCAAAGGTAGAGCCCAGCAAAACTAAATATTTTATACCGAAAAGTCGGTAGGCCGGGCGAAGAAATCCTGCAAATTTCGACCAGTTCGAGCTCGAGATTTCCCAAATGATCTCTGCCAGCCTACCCCTTCCATTCCCAAATGATCTCTGCTAGCCTGCCCCTTCCATTCCCAAATGATCTCTGCTAGCCTGCCCCTTCCATTCCCAAATGATCTCTGCTAGCCTGCCCCTTCCATTCCCAAATGATCTCTGCTAGCCTGCCCCTTCCATTCCCAAATGATCTCTGCTAGCCTGCCCCTTCCATTCCCAAATGATCTCTGCTAGCCTGCCCCTTCCATTCCCAAATGATCTCTGCTAGCCTGCCCCTTCCATTCCCAAATGATCTCTGCTAGCCTGCCCCTTCCATTCCCAAATGATCTCTGCACGGCTGCCTACCGTCTCGTGGATGATTTTGCAGAAAAAGTCGTCCTCCGACAGTATCAACACGGCGATCAGTGCCAAATACATGTGATGAGTGTTGGACGCCGCCTGTGCTCGTGATCCATCGTGTAGGATTCGGAGTATGGGGAGCACGAGCTTCTCGAGGTTGATGCGCGACAGTACGTAATTCCGGAAGCCGACGTTGTGGTGGAGGAGAATGTAGAGGAGCAGCATTGGGGGTTCCTGAAGTAAACTAAAGTACGCTCAAAGTAAAAAAAAAGCGTTTGGTCAACTTTTTTTGGTCCCACGGTGACGGGAAAGGCGTATTTGGCAATGTTCCAAAGATCGTCCCGCACGAATTTTCAGCATTTTGTCGGCCTAGTGGCTTTCAAAACCTGCTCACCTGCTCTATCGAGTCGCAAAGTCGCTCGTACAACGCGTTGTAGGCCAGTTTGAAAGTTTGAAGCTCGGCGGCCAGCACGGAGATTTCTGAAAAAAAAATTGGGTTAACATTATGGTTTTTAATAGCCGATACTTTCGACAAAATTTAAATTAGTTTTGAGAAAATTCAAACAGCATAAAATGATGCGATAAAAGGCCACCTTGCGAATTCTGAAAAATGGCCATCGTCTCCTTGAAAGCATTCCTGCCCCTCGAGTTGTGGCACGTCAAAACGAGGGCTAATAACAGGGATAGGCTGCCGAGCGAGACGACCAGGGGCTTCGTTTCCTGAATTTTTGAGTGTACTTGATTTGGTTCTTTCCCTATTTCGGGTGGGCGACAAATTTTTCTCGTTTTAATAGTGTTCTTAGCAAAATTTAACTATATTTGGGGTGCTAAAAAAAACAATAACCCTAAGGAACAATTTTTAGGGGAGATTTTGGTCGGGAACCGGCGACTTTCTCTCGAAATGCGTTATTTTTGAGATTTTGATCATAAATCGTAGAGTTTTTGCGTTTAGGGACATTAAAAACAGTTTAGAAACATATTATATTCGAAAAACTGGATCCTTGAAAAAAGCTTGATCCCAGGCGAAAAACCCTTCTTTTTTATTAAGGTTTTCAGCGTTGAATTGAATGTTAAGTCGATCAATAACTTAAATGACGTAAAAGTTCTCGATAAGTTGTTATCCAAAAAGCTCCCACCTCGGCTGCATCATTTAATCCAGTTGCCACCGTCACCATATTCCAGAGAGATCCTAGAAACGAGCTATTTCTTGGCTATTTTGCTTTGATTTTATAGTTTGGAGCTATGGCTTTGCCGTCGCGTTTAGAATTTTACTTTTAAATCGACTTGGAAGCTCCAAAATCAACATCCTTATCCACTAGGTCTAGACAGTTACGCGAAAGTCCAAAACACGCGTGAATCTGACTTTGCGAGCACCTAAGAACGTGGCGTTGTCTCAAATAACGATTCCGCAGTAAGCGTCATGCGTCATTAGGTGCGTGTCGCAACTGTCTAGACCTAGTCGACTTAAGGGGTTGATTCTTGCGCTTTCTAGCTCCTTGCAAAAGTAAAAAAATCTCCTTACCTGCCAATCCAAGCACGATGCTCTCCGGAACCTTCTCCTGATGCGGTGCCCTATACTCGGCGTTGTGGCTGAGGTAGTTGTCCAGCAAAACTTTTGTCAGAATCGTGGCTCGATCTTTGCTAAAAAAATCATGAATTCAGCGCCTTTTAACGATTTTTTTGGTTCTCCGCTCTTAGCGGAGGTTTTTAGCAGGGTTAAGTGAGAAAAATTTGGTCAAAAATCTATCAAAAAAAAAAGCCCAAAAAAGGCGAATTTTTCAATTTTGCAAAAAAATTTAGAAGTTCAAATTCCTAAATCCAAAATTTTCTAACTTCCGATCAATCAAATTACCAAAAACAATATAAAAATGTAGGTTAACAGCCTTTCTTAAAGAATCCCGGCTAGCCTGCCCTTTTTCATTATCTAAGACCCACCACTCCTCCACCAGGAAAAGCCCAAAAATGCTGGAATCCTGGACGACGTCCTCGCGATACAACTGCGAGCTCAGCAGGGCTAGACAGCACTTTAGCGCCTCGATATGGACGGGCATTGTGGTATCACTAAAATAGGTATCGAGTACGTTACTATACTATGGACATACTTGACCGGTAGTTTTATGATGATGTCGGTGAGCTGGAGAACGAGTTGGTGGAGGCGATCTGGGAGTATTACTTCATTTCTTTTTCTGTCTGGTTCAAATTTTTGCCCATTCGTTTTATAGGTTAAATCTTTTTTTAAACAATAAAAAACTGGCTACCAACTTTGTTTTATAAGTTAGCTTTTTAAAAACGCCGAAAAGCTAAAGGTATTACTTTTTTATACTCTATTTCATAAAACACTAAAAATTCTGACTCTTACTTTTTCTAAGTTAAAAACTCTAGCAGCGCTGTTTTGTTTATATTTTCTCATCCACTATTTAGCTTTTCTTTACTCATGTTGCAATAGTTTTGATCGTTATAATTAAATTCGAATACTACGTCAAAATTCGAAAGTACAAGCTACATAAAAGGCCCAAATTCAATAAAACCCACCAATCCGCTTCTCCTCCTCGCCTTTTTGCAAAAATTCGTGCAAGCCCTCCTCAGTGAAGCGCGAGCACAAGAATTTGATGACATTTTTCACGATGATCAGCCCGTTTTGGACGTGGAAATTGAGGAGTTTTCTGAAAGCAACGTTTAAATGTACAGGAAGACAGAAAACAGCTAGAATTTCTCTTAACCATCCAAAAAAACACACGTTTTAACCTGCGAAAACCCGTTTAAAAATGAGCCTAAACGCTCAAAAATATTAAATTTAAAGTGAGAAATATCCAAAAGTACTGAGTTTCAAACGACCCACTCCTCCTGGGCGTTCGAATTGATCAGCACCGTCGATTTCTCGAAGAACACGTGCAACAACAGGTCCAAATTCTCGGATTCGCGCGTGTTTTCCATCAACTGCTCATTGTAGCCTTCGATGAGCGTCTCGACGGCCTTCCCGGTCGCTGCCTCATCGAGGTCGAGCGTCAGGTAGAAGTTGAACAGCCCCTTCCAAAACTCGTCATTCTGCCCGATCGGCGCCTTGCCGCACAGCTCGCCCAGGTACTTGTTCTCGGCGAGCTTCTGGGTGCAGCTGATGTTGCCGCCCATAAAGGCTGAAATAACAATAATTTCTTTAATTAGTCGATAAAATGCCGTTTTTACTACCGGTTTGATCAGACAATTTGTAAAAAACCCCCAGAAAATTCTGGAAAATATAGAAAACACGTTTCGAACACAAAAAATTGTTATTTTTTACGTGGATTTTATCAGGAAGTGATTAAAAACTACAGGAAAATCGGGAAAACATAGCAAACACTGCGTTTAGAACGCTTTTCAATGTAGGCTAGAAAACATTGCAAACGACCTTTGGAACCCAAAAAATGCTATCTTTTTATGTAGGTTTTGTCACAAGTTCTTAAAATTCAGGCAAAAATATTGATTCATAGTTTTATATGTTCGAAAACATATAAAACTATGAAATAAATACGCACAAACAGCACTAAAACCATTTATTTTTGCTAAATTAAAATTTTTACACAAATCTGAGACGCTGCCTTGAGTGGGAAAAGGTGAAATCTATACAAAAATCCGCTCATAATTTCAAGCATACTTTTTAGAGGTATAAAAATAAACTTAGCTATGTTTCTAGCCCAAAACAAGCTTTAGAAGCCAAGCTATCCGTTTACGCTAGCAAATTCTGCAGTCATTTGCGCATTAAGAAGACCGCGAAAACCATTGAGGAGCAGGGCTAGGCGATAGTTTAGTGAGGTAAAAGGCTACTGCCTAATTTAGACGTACAATTCAGGCTTTTCCCCGAATTCAGAAGCCCGGATCGGATCTCGTGCTGGCCTTACGACCCCTTTATTGTTGACCACCCGAAAACACGTCAACTGCTCTACTTCACGACGGGGCGAGGAGCCGCCCGTAGCCCACCGGGGAACCTAAAAAAAGTAGAAAACTTGGCCTTCACAAGCAGATTTAGATCTTGCTTTGAGTTGGATCTGGGCTTAGGACTTTTTCCTGGGAAATCAAGGGCTAATCCGAAAAGGAGGTAATTTTTTCGCGACTTTATAGAAAATATTCTCCAAAATCGTTTATTTTATATAGCAAAAACTACAGTAGCTTTGGGCTTCATCTCCGAAGCTTTTACGAAGCCATTTTCGACATATCTTTCCGAACGAATTTCCGAACAACGTTGTCCGGAAATTCGTAGTTGCAACTATGATTTTCTGAAACGCTTTTCCCTGCTCAGGTCCAAAAACGTTCATTCCAGCCCCTGCTTCATCAAAAATCCCCGGAAGTACGAGATTCCAGCAGACAATCAGTTTTTCGACACTGCCCTTAAACAGACAAGAGCTTCGGAAAACTAGGCTTTTTTAGACAACTTAACAGCGCCTTCATGACTAAAAACGTTGATTTTCGGCGACTGTTTTTTGAACGTATCGAAAAGGCTGCTTCACAGGTCCGTGCATCCACCCGAAATTCACTCGGAATCCCGGAGGGGATGCGAGGGGAATTCCACTCGCGGACGCGAGTGGATTCCACACGGAAATCGAGTGGATTCGGGGTGGATTTCGGGTGGATGCACGGACCTGTGTTTGGCTACATTCTAGCCCCCCCCCCTTTTTTCAAACGGTTGACCTCTGACACTCTACCAGACCATCAAAGCAGCATCGTAGCCACATCGAGCGGCGACAGTTCACTGATCACACCCCCTCGCCACCGACCGCCCCTCGAGGAGAATCGAGGGCAACCTCTGCGCCCCTGTTGTTTTGATGGCTTATCGCTCTCAGCTCCTCTTCACTCTGGATCTCTCGCCTGGCCGCCCTTTGACCCTCACTATGTCTGGGCGGCGTTCATTTTGTTGTCGATGAGCTCAAGAAATTGCTATAACTAAAAAGTACTAAATTAGAAACGCTAAAATCTGTAAAAACTTACTCAATTTCCACTATTTTTAACGTCGAGCGTTTTTCTTGAGAAAATGAAAATTCCGATAAATGCTACGAGACTTTTCAAACAACGGTTATCTGTAAAGTGTATTGCTACGGACTACGAATTTATGAAGGAAATTTTGAAATTTTCGGCTTCTTCATATTTCTTTGTAATAAAATTTCTATTTTTCATCTCAAACTCGCGTTTCTTTCAGATGCTCACCCGATTCATCGCACGCGCGCCCTCAAAACTTGCGGCCAGAACCGTCACCTCGCAGCCAAGGATTGATCATGAAGGTTTTCAACGTTTTTCTCTATAAAACCATATTTTCAGGCCAGCACCCGCCCCCGGTCACACAGTTCAACGAGCACGAGCTGATGTTCCAGGAGAACGGTTGGTTTTTGAGTAGAACAAAGAAAAACCTTGAATTTAGTGCGCCGATTCTCGAACAACGTCATCAAGCCGCTGGTGCGCGAGATGGACGCAAAGGCCGAGCTGCACAAAAGCATCATTACAGGTTGGCGATGGCCTAAAGTCTATGAAAAAGTACCCTAGGTTCATTCGAAAACGGGTTCATGGGCATCGAGGTGCCGGAAAAGTACGGCGGGCCCGAGTCGTCGTTCTTCGACACGGTGATTGTTGTCGAAGAATTGGCCAGGGTGCGTTTTAAAACTTTTGATGAATTTTGGAACTTTTTGAACACCCTCACGAGAAGAAATTTAGATCGACCCGTCCGTTTCCGTCTTTGTCGATGTCCAAAACACGCTGGTCGGCCCGCTGATCATGCAGCTCGGCACGGAGGAACAGAAAAAGAAGTATTTACCGAAGCTCGTCAGCGAATGGGTGAGTTTTCAAGATCTATCGGTTATCTATTTTTTTCCAGATCGGCTCCTTCTGCCTCTCCGAAGCCGGCAGCGGTTCTGATGCGTTCGCGTTGAAGACGGTGGCCAAAAAGTAACGCTTGAAAACTCCATTAAAGACATTTTTTAGGGACGGCGACGACTTTGTGATCACCGGCAACAAGTTGTGGATCACGAACGCGGGCCACGCCCAGTTTTTCCTCGTTCTGGCCAACGCCGACCCCTCCAAAGGATATAAGGTGAGGAAATGGTCTTGGTATCTTTTTACGCGCTTTCTTTTAGGGTATCACCTGCTTCCTCGTTGATCGTGACGCGCCTGGCGTGAGCGTTGGAAAGAAGGTACATTTTTCGGTACTAGGCTGCTAGCGGAGGGGGGATAACATTTTTCCCAGTAATTCCGTACGCACTAAATTTTGACGTTATTTTACATAGTGATTATTTTTTTGGATATTAAACTTATAGAGATTATAATAATTTGCGAAAATTTGAACTTCTTGGCCAAAAATGTTTGAAAAATTGCCCAGAAAGGGTCTACATTTTTTCGAATTTTCGACATTTTTAAGAATATTTTTCTGACTTTCTAGCAATAAAAAACTAGTAAAAATACTATCAAGATGTTGTTGCATCAATAGGTAAAAAAACATAAAAGTCTCCCCCCCCTGCTAACAGTCCAGAACCGCTTTTCCCAAGGTAAAGTAAAATTGATGTTTTTAGGAAGACAAACTGGGTATCCGGGCCTCCTCGACGTGCCCGGTCAACTTTGACGGCGTCCGCGTGCACAAGAGCGCCATTCTGGGAGAGTACGGAAAAGGTTAACCTTGCCTTTTTCTATTTTGATCGCGATTTTCAGGTTATAAATACGCCATCGAGTGCCTCAACGCGGGCCGTATCGGAATTGGCGCCCAAATGCTCGGGCTCGCCCAGGTCGGCAATTTCTATTTTTTTTTCTATAAAGCATTTTAGGGCTGCTACGATGTGACGATCCCCTACCTGCAAGAGCGGAAGCAGTTCAACAGCCGCTTGATTGATTTTCAGGTATTTTTGATAGTTATCTTCATTGCGCTTTAGGGAATGCAACACCAAATCGCGCAAGTCGGCACCGAGATCGAGGCCGCTCGCCTGCTCGTCTACAACGCGGCCCGCATGAAGGAGAACGGAATCAACTTTGTCAAGCAGGTATTGTGGATGGATTTTTCGGTTCTTTCGCATTATCGGGGGGGGGGGGGAACAACTTTTTTCATAGGATCGAATTTTCAACTATAAATAGTGGAAGTATTTCGAAATGCTTTTTGACTGTTCCTAAACGTGAAAACTTTACAAGTTTTTATTAAACAATATTAAAAAAAATCGATTTTTCCACCAAAAAGTCCGATTTTGACTTTTTTTTAGAATTTTTAGATAGTTTTTATATTTGGACATAGTTGCATATTACTAAAGACACTATTAAAGCACTTTCTGTTAAGTTACTAGACATTACTAGACTTATACAAAATGTTCGGTTTAGGCGGCCATGGCCAAGCTGTTCGCCTCGCAAATCGCCACCACGACCACCTCGAAATGCGTGGAATGGCTGGGCGGCGTCGGGTTCACCAAGGAGTTCCCGGCGGAGAAATTCTACAGGTAACGAAGGTTGCAATTTCTTAGCACCCTCTTTTTCAGAGATGCCAAGATTGGCACCATCTACGAGGGCACGTCGAACATTCAGCTGAACACAATCGCCAAGCACATTGACGGCGAGTACGCGGCGCGGGCGAAATAAACGGCGATTTCACCAACGAGCTCTTAATCGTGTTTTTATTTCCCGGATTTTTTTGAAGTGCCCTTGCAGTTGCGCCCATTATAGACTACTTGTGATTATGTACATTCTTTGTCCTTGCGAACTATTGCTGTCTGTGTAATTGTTTTACTAGAGATCGATTTATGCCGCGAATAAAGTTTAATTTGAAAGGCAAAGAAAGTTTCTTTTAAAAATTACAGGCAAATTCTTGCCAAAAATATATCTTATTCGCAGCCAACAAGACATAATTTATGCATTTTCTAGAACGGGAATCTTGTCGTGAAATTTGTCTCGGGCTGTTTGTATAGATGGTTTTCTACCTGATCGGCCTCGGCCTCGGAAACGTTGAGGATATTACAGTAAAAGGTAGCATTTTATTAAATTCGCGCTACGAAATTCCAGGACTGAACGCCGTCAGAAAATGCAAGCGTGTCCACCTCGAAGCGTACACCTCGATTCTGTGCTACGGGCTCGAGAAGAAGCAGCTGGAGGAGTTCTATGGCCGCGAGGTGATAGAAGCCGATCGAACGATGGTGGAGCAGAATTCCGGTGCGTTTTGATCGCTTATCTGCCGGGTGTCCCAAAGGTTTGAACCGGCGCTAACGGGCCGCAGAAGCGTCCGATTTTGACGAATTAGATAACTATCAAAAGCTCTCGGCAAGGCGAGAAAACAAAAAATTTTCGTTTTTGAATTTAGGCATTTTAATTCACGAATTTCAGGACTAAAATCCATGAAAAATGCAGTTTTTTTGCAAAACCCGCATGTAAATTGCCGATCTCAAGACTTTCCATTCAGTTGTTTTCAGTATTTCGAGCTAATGACGACGCCGATTTCACGTCTAGCGCTGAAAAATTGCAAAATGCGAAGTGCTTGGTTTCTCGCCGTTTCGAGAGCTTTCTAATGTTGTAAAAATCATCCGGGCTCGAGCTTTCTTGGGACCGCTAGAGCGGGGTCGATTTTTTTGGGCAGCCTGTATATTAACCAAGGTTTTAGACGAAATCCTGAACGGCGCCGACGTGGACGACGTGGCGATGCTGGTCGTTGGTGACCCATTCGGGGCAACGACACACGCTGATTTGGTGCTGCGAGCAAAAGTAAAAATTGTTGCTTCTTATTCTATTTTTTGTTTTAGCAAAGAAACATCCCCGTCCAGGTCATCCACAACGCTTCGATCATGAACGCCGTTGGGTGTTGCGGATTGCAGGTATCTATTTTTTAGGCTTATTAGGCATTTCCGCTTTAGCTCTACAATTTCGGGGAGACGGTGTCGATTGTGATGTGGCTGGACGGCTGGGAACCCGACAGTTATTATGACAAGTAATTCTAAAACAATTTTCTAGTTTTGTATCCAATTTAGAATTGCGAATAACGTCTCGAAAGGCTATCACACGCTCTGCCTTCTGGATATTAAGACCAAGGAGCAGTCAGTGGAAAATATGATGCGGTAATGGTAGATTGCGAATCTGAAATGTTTGTTATTTCAGAGGCCGGAAAATCTACGAGCCGGCGCGGTACCAGAGTTGTGCGGAAGCTTGTCGACAATTGATTACGGTAAGCCCCTTGCTGCTACGAAATCATTCATTTTTAAGGTTCTTTCGCATTAGCGCGGGGTAGCAACTTTTCTTGAAATAATTTTTCAAATATGAATAGTGGAAGCTGAAAAGCGAAAACTTTGCATGTTTTTATTAAAAAAGCAAAAAGACGATTTTTCGACCAAAAATGGCCGTTATTTGGCCAAAATGTCGACTTTTTGAAAATTTTTGAAAGTTTTAACCACTTTTTCTGGTTAAAATGTAGTTCTATATTGCGAAAAACACTATTGAAACATTTCCTATTAAGCTACTATACATTGAAGACTTATACGAAAAAGTTCGCAGCCGCCTCCCCCGATAATGCCAAAGACCCAATTTTTTTCAGATAGCCGAACGACGGAAAGCCGCCGGAGAGAAGCCGATCTATACGGAAGAAACGAAGGTTGTCGGTCTGGCCAGAGTCGGATGGGAGGATCAGAAGGTTTGTGACTCGTGTAAAACTGACGAAACAGCTTTTTCCAGATTGTCGCCTGTTCGATGAAGGAGATGACCGAAATATATATGGGCCCGCCGCTTCACTGCCTCATCATTCCGGGCCATACGCATCCACTAGAGGACGATATGCTGGCCACCTTTGCCCCCAGTTGATTGTTGATTTTGTTTTTTTCGATTTGAACTTTTCACATTTCACGTTGTTACGTTTGATATTGTTATCGCTGTTGTGATCATTTCCGGTTTTTTTTTAGTTTTTGTCTAGAATAAAGCTTGAGTTTTGGAGATTGCTGGTCAGAAAAGACAAGGGCTAGCCGCCTTCAGATATTTGAAATTTCAATCGCTCTACCAGTTGTAACGAATCGCAGTGTTTGGTGGCTCAAATTGAATGTTGAGCATGCCTCATGGCTTTACTCGGAACGGCCACTTTCAAGCCCCTTGAGCTTCCAAAGCCCAAATCGGTTCTTTGGCATTATCGGGGGGAGGCCAAAAAAATTTGTTAGGGGCCAATTTTTTAAATAAAAATAGCTCAATTGTTTTAATATTGCTAAACGTATCAACTTACAAATTTTCATTGAACGTTACAAAAAATACCGCATTTTCGACCAAAAATGGCCGTGTTTTGATCAAAATTTTTACTTTTTCTCAATTTTTGTAGGTTTTTAGATGGATTTTCTAGTTGAAACATAGATTTATTTTACTAAAACAATTTGATAATACGTCATATTTATTAAGTTAACGTTCACCCCTAGATAATGCGAAACAACCCGCTGTCAAGCTCCCTGAACTTCCCAAGCCCAAACTTTGGACTCAAAGATCTTGTTCTTCTGCTCTCGCAGACTCCCATCCCGCAATAGACACAAAGAACTTATCTCGGGCTTGTAGTCTCTCTGCGAATCGTTACGCGCTGAAAGAGGCCGCGGCTGATGCAACCATTTCAAGCGCTCTACCGGCTATTTATCGGCCCAGCTCGGCGCTCATTCAGCACCGGATCAGGCGAGCCGTTTTTTGCAATTAATATTTTATGCGCCAGATAGCTGTTGCCTTGGAAACCATGCTCCATTTTCCTCGAGTTTTTTTTTTTTGCTTATCATGATCCAAAAATTATTTTACTTGGCTCCTCACTAATTCTGCCTTTGCAGATAAAATGACGCTCGAGAAGGCCTACATCGGCATGCAGTGCTTCTGGGGAGTCGAGTCGTCTTTCGCGAAAATCAAGGTAAACTCGGCGGCTTTTCCTGGAGACCAATTTTAGGGAGTCCGCAAGACGCGCGTTGGCTATGCCGGCGGGACAACCGTGAATCCGACCTACAGAAACATTGGCGACCACACAGGTATCGCTAGAGTTATCGTAACGTTAAAATCATTTTATTTTAGAAATCACTGAAGTCCAGTTCGACCCGGCCGTCGTCAGCTACCGCGAGATTCTGGCTCACTTCTGGACCAAGCACGACCCCACCAAGAAGTGCGTACTTTCGAGCGAGATGCGTAGCAATAAGCGATCTTTAGAGAGCCGAAGCAGTACAAGAGCGCCATCCTCTACGTCAACGATGATCAGAAGGCCATCGCCGAGGAGACCAGCAAGGAGGTTGAGGTAAACTTTTCAAATTTTTGAATCGTGGTTGTCGTTACTCGCTCAAAACGTTGTTTTTCACTCAAATCGTTAGATGAAGGCAGAAATACATTTTCCGCAGCTTATTCTACTAAAAAGTGCATTTTCGGCGAGCGCCGCAAACTGGAATTTCCCCAAATTTTCAATTCATGCTTTTCAGGAGCTGAAGCGAAAGCCCCTCGACACGTATATCCAGAAGTTCGACAAGTTCTACCAGGCCGAGAACTACCATCAAAAGTACTGGCTGCGTGGTCGAGGCGGCGTGATTCACGAGGTAATTTTATCTTTATTTTTTATTTCTATTTTGTTTTTAGCTCGGGCTGACGGACGAGGAGCTGGTCGACTCCTACCTGGCCACGAAGCTCAATGCGTATTTGGCGGGTTACAAGGATTTCTCGTAAGTTTACATATTAACGACATTGTATCTGTTTTTTTAGCGAGCTCGACGCCTTGGCCAAGGAGCACAACATCCCCACCGAGCTGGTCGAGAGCATCCGACGAATCGCCAACGAGGGCGGCGACCCCCGGAACTGCCATGCGTAATTTTGACGTTTATGTAGCTTTGTACATTGTAAAAATCCATTTTCATTTTTGACGGCTGTGTTGTGAGTATTTTGTGAAGCGCAATAAATTAGATTTGTCGTCGAACATTTGCATTTTTAAGCAAAAATTACCACGGATTTTTTGGCCCAAAAATGGCCGATTGTCGACCTAAATTTCGACTTTTGAGCTTTTTAAAGTTTTTAAGATGGTTTTCGCAGGTAAGGTATGGTTACTTTTGCTAATAAAAAAAATTTATTGCCGGAAAGGATGATGGTAGGAAAATGCGGTACTCGTAATTGGTTCCTTGGAACGGAAAGCGCGAGAAGATGATAGGGAAATGAGGAGGGATAGACCTGGAAAGTAGGGAAATGACGATGACAGTTCCGAAAATTTAAAAATGATATTTAAAGTGGATAGATAATTTTTTAGTGGTAGAAATGGTGCGGCCGGTTGAGGTATTTCAGGTATTGGCGAACGGCGTTGCATCTAAAGTATGACCGTTTTGATCGAGGATTTTAGGAAAGAAAACTATAAGCAAAAAAAAAGCTTCACTGACTTGGCTTTGATCGTCGGCTTGGGGAAGTGCTTCCAGCATTCAACAACAGCCTTGTCGCAGGCGCACAGCGCGACCTTGCACGGCGAGCTTGTGTCTGGAAGATTTTGTGTTAAAATATGTAACTTACGACACAATTAACTATTCTTTTAGTTATTTTTATTGCGAATATTACCGGTACAAATGGCCGTCCCATTTTCGCATTTCCAGCTGTAGTCATCGACGTACTCCCACGCGGTGTCGTAGCAAATCTTCGCGTCGACGGCCGCGTCGTAGCACTTGTCGTGCACTTTGCAGCAACTGAAAGGGCTGCGTTAGCGTGGATTTAGTATCTTTTGCTTCAGAATCTGGGGTTTCTTAGGTCCAAATCTTACGCATCAATGCCGTCCACCGGCTCGTGCGCACCGCCGATCCCACACCAGCAGCCGTAGTTGTTGTAGACAAGCGCGTTGTAGTGGAGCTCGCATTCGGTGACCTAAAATGATGCTATTGTCCTTTTGGAGTTTTCGAAATTGCGGAACGTGATGGCTAGCTAGCAGAGGTGATTTGGGAACCGGCGCATCATATTTGAGATCCCTCACCTCTTCCAAATTCCACAGCGCGCCGACCATCGGTGGTGGTGAAGAGCCGGTGAAGTATACCAGCGTCAGGAGCGTCATTAGTAAAATTCGGAACATCTAGAAAGAAAGAATCTAATTTGGGAAAACAAATGGCGCGATAAAAAAAAAGAAAAAATAACGGCACTGGAGTGTTCGCAAGGGGGACTTTTTAGCATGGGGAAAGCCAATTTTTCCCAGTAATCATGTACGGCGCTATAACGAAATATAAATAATTTTTATAAAAATGTTTTTATATCGGCCACTATGTCATAAAAGGCTGAGAAAAAAATTGCGAAAATATTTTATTTTTAGGCGGAAATGTATGAAAAATGACAAAAAATTTTCGACTTGAAAATTGTCCAAAATATTTTGTAGCTTTCTGGCAATCAAAAACTAGTAAAAAACAGGATAAATAACAAAAATTAGTTCCCCGCTGCTAACAGAACAGTACAAAAAATAATTTGAATGCACGGCATCGGAAAATCCAGCATATGCCAAGCGCCATGCGGCAAAATGGCTATCATTTTTGCACCATTAGTGCATCGCCAAGTGGTATTTGTACAATCCGTTGATAAGGAAGGTCAGACCGAGGGAGGAAATTGACATTGAGAAGCCGGGGGAGTGTGTCCAGATGTGCCATGTGACTAATATAAACAATCGCCCCGGGCAGCTGACCGATAAACTTTCGCGCCGTCGAGTTTTTCGGGGAGACAAGGCTGAAAGATCATGAGATCAAAGATGATTTCGGGATGATTGATAGAAAAGTATCTTTTAAAACGTTTTTGATAGACTAAAAAATCCGACCTCAGGTTCTTTCGCATTATCGGGGGGGGGGCTGCCAATTTCTTGTCTTAGGACCAATTTTTCTAACCATGAATAGCGGAAGTGCATCTAGATTGTTCTTACTATTACTAAAAATAAAAATCTACAAAATTTAACAAAAAAATATAAAAATATTGGTTTTTGGCCAAAACGTCGGCTTTGCAACGTGTTAAAAACTTTTTTTGGTAGCTTTTCTAGTTGATATATGCTTATATTTTTTTGAAAACGTTATTAAAATGCTTCATATGAAGTTGCTAGGCATTTCTAGACTTTAAAAAAACATTTGGCAAGGAAAAGTGGATCCATGGAAAGGTTTCCGGGGTTAGGTAGCGCGCTTCTGCAATATACGTTTTTCGGTAGCGGCAAGATTAATAAAGCAACTTCCGTCGCTATCTCTCTGATTTTGCGGATGCGTCATGCCGGAAGTGCCGGAAGTTCAAGAATTGCTTGACTAGCCAATGGCTGATTCATGGGGGTTCAAAAACGCAGGGAAAGAAGGCTGCCACGTTTTCAAAAAAATCAGTCAAAGTATATTTCAAAACGTTTTTGATATATCCGAGAGCCCAGCATCAAAACGATAGAACGTGGAGTAATTCGAGATCGAGGTAAATAAGTTTATTAAGGGAACACCCGCACCGAAGAAGCGACAAATCTTGTTTTCGGCCAGACAGCTGGTCAGCGGCTTTTTTTCGCGGCTAGAGCCCGGGGCGTGGCAATACGAGTCGGCTGGCAGGACTGGATGATTGTGAGACGCCTTTCGATCCGATGGAATCATCGCTACGCAGAAGGAGCTTCCCCCTAGCTTTTGTTCAAGCAAAAAACCTTTTTTACATAAAGGTACAGGTGTCTGTACCGTGATTTTAAAATTCCTGTCTAAAACACTTTACAAATCTCAATGAAACATTTATTGTGGCTCCAAAGCCTAAATTTTGGAAAATTTTGGATCTTTTCGAGTTTTTCGGCCTAGGTCTCAATGGGTCCGGCTGCAGCTCGACGGGACGACGCTATGAGTGGTGCTCTAAAATGGAACGTTTTCAACACAATATTAGGCCGAACGGTTATTGGTTCTTTGGCATTATCGGGGGGACAAACCTTTTTCTATAATTCCAGGAGTTTCAACGAGTAAGTGTTTTAGAAGCGTTTTAGTGCAATTTAGCTAGATTTTCAGTGAAAAAACCATAAAAAACTTAGAAAATGAAAAACTTAGATGGTCGAAAATCGCAATTTTTGACATTCTCAATCAAAATTTGTAAACTTTTTACGTTTAGGAGTATTAAAAACAGCTTAGAAACCCTGATTCTATGTATATTAGAAAAATTCGATCCTTAGAAAGGTTGGTGCCCCCAATAATGCGAAAGAACCAAATTATCTAACCACAGTACGCTCAAAAACTTAAACCGACCTGCTGGGCTGTTATGGCTGAATGTGCTAGCTGAAAAACAAACACTAATTTGCTATATTCAGGTTGGTCAGGCCGTTAGAAACTATATTTTCCAATTTCCAAATCAGCCTTTATTCTAGTTTTTATTTAACAATTTGATTACCTACTCGAACCATCGTTTGCCGCGAGACGGAGGGCTGAGGCTGACGTCGCCAGTGGAAAATCAGCAAGACGCAGCTGAAATTGAGAAAAATTTGATTCAAAAACTAGCATTTTTTCCCGGGTTAAAAGAGCAAAAATTATTCGGGACGGCTTTGTCAAGGGCTTGACAGCCGTTATCATAAATTTTGATACCCTAAACCTAGCAAAACGGCAAAAGATGAGCTCAGCGAAAATTGATCAACATGTGTCTTCAGTTGAACTATACAAGTGAATCATCGCTCGGGGGTCGAACCCGCGTCCTGCGCCTGGCGCCCATTCCTCTGCGCCACTAGGCCACGCCCAACAGCTGGAGAGGAGGGAAGAGAGGGCTCAAGAAGGGTCGGCCCCGCTCTCGCGGCCTCCACTGGGCGCAGTAAATTATTGTTTTGTATATTTTTAGTGGTAGAGAGAGAGAGAGAGAGAGAGAGAGTGAGAGAGAGAGAGAGCGAGTGAGAAACCAATATAATTTTTTGTATAATTTTTCTTTTTAACTCACCCATCCAGCGAGTGGCAGGCTTGCCAAGAGAATGTAACCGTAAAAAAGAGTTGCCATTTCGTCGTCATAAACGTCGAAACATAGTAGAAACTCGCAAAAATGTACGCAAAGATGAGCAGCTGGGTGCAGCTCTGAACATTGTCAAGAGCTTTTATAATTAGTGTAAGTTCTTACTTGAGCAAAAAACCGAATTTCCATCGCCCGTCTTTTGAGTAGGACCTCGCGCCCGCCCGCACCAGAAATATTCTGAATTTTTGGCAATTTCAGCCAGCATTCGGAGAAATTTAGGGGATGCTTTTAACGCACCTTTCGCGTTACCCGTAGTTGAAATATCGTATACACGTCAAAAATAGCGATAATGCCGAAGACGGCCATGCCGAGGTAGAAGTCGAGGTAGGTGCCTGGAAGAATTCCAGATCGTAATTGTCTTTTTAATTTCCTGGCTTAAACCGAATTTCTTAAAAATGGCCCTGCATGAATTTGGGCGCGTAATCGTTTAGCAGTTCGGCTTACTGGGGCCTTTAAAATTTTTAATTTCCATTTATTTTTTTCCTCGCTCTAACTGTAATTTAAAAGTTTTTTTCAAAGATTTCGATGATTTCGAGGCTCTGATGCCCGGAATAAAATGGCGTAATTGGTTAAAGGGGGCTTTGGGCCTGAAACATATTTTTCCATTTTCTTTTCCAGGATTGGGTTCTGTTCTGTTAGCGGGGGGCTAAACCTACTTAGAAATTTTTTAGCATCTTTATTCTGGTATTACCATCACGTTTTGGCAGTTTCTGATTGCTAGACATCAACAAAAAAATTCTAAACATTTTTGTAAATCCGAAAATTTTGGCGTTTTACTCATTCGGATTTTTCTGTTTTCGCACAAAAGGACAACCACCTTCAAAGATCCAAAACCTTCAAAAATCAAATTATATCCAAGCCCCCGAAAATCCCATACCAATAATCGTTCCGCAGGTGCTCTGCGAGTAATTCCACGTAAAGGTCGACGGCGTGTACACGATATAACATTCGTCTCCTGAAAAGGTAAAATTTTTATGATGAAATCGCTTTTTCCAGACGCCCATATGGGCGAGAATCGACTCCTTCCACGCTCTAGGCCTAGACAGATACACAACACGCAAAAACGCGACTTACGGTAGAAATATGGCAAGTTCAGGATGGCGGCAATCGTCCATGAGCAGCTGACGAGAAAATAGGTCCCTTTTGAGCCGGCGAATTTCAGGCGTCTTGTAGGGAAAGCTGAAAAGTGAGGAGTTACAGCCTTATCTCTCTCGCTCTCTCTCTCTCTCTCCCTCTCTTTCCCTCTATCTCTCTCATCTGCCTTTCCCTCCCTCTCTCATGCTCGCTCTTGCTCACTCTCTCTCTCTGTCTCTCTCTCGCTCTCTCTCTCAACTTACTGATCGAAAATAGTCGATTGAGCGATACAACTAAATGAGAATAAACGGAATTGGCCCAAAACAGCGTGTTCAATTGACCCACAATCTTGCCCCAGAGTCCCGTGGACATCTCGTCGTCGCTCCTGGCAAAAGGTATGATAGATCCTAAAGGGGCTACGAAGCCCCCCGAACCCTCCCCCTTGACGTACATCCACTGCATTGGCGCGCACCAACCGGCGAATATTATCAATAACCCCGAGTTGGCGACGCTCTGCGAAACGCAGAGCGCCCCAAAACTGTTCCTGAGGTGCGGGTAGGTGAGGACGAGGTGGATGGAGAGGAAATTGGCCAAAAGCCCGAAGATTGAGACCTGAAAAGTGGGAAATTAATGGGTAAAATGCTTCTAGTAGTTGACAATATATTTTCGAAAACCAATGGTTCTAAGATTAATCTCCGTAACGTAATTTTTCGAATATGAGAATTTTGGAAAAGTAACGTCGAGAGCAAAAGCAAAGGCAGTTGACAAAGCCAAAAAAATAGGGTGGTAAAAAGAGTAATTTTTTGAAGAATTACCATGACTATAATAATGGCTGCCAACTCGCTGCTGGCAATCGTCACCAGATCCTCGTTGAAAGCTTCGGTCGTGGTTTCTTCGGACATTCCTGTAAAGAACTGTACACATTACATCATACAACACCATTTTTATAGAATTTTACACCGTTTCTAAATATAAATAGTTCCCAATAAAGATAAAACTTTTTGGGTAAGAGTCTAGAAACCCCCCAGCCGGCACCAACTTTTGTATCTCGGCCCGCCTTTGTGCTAGCGAGCTCTAAAGTATACCAAAATGTTTGCCGTAGGCTGATTAGTAAGACTACATTGCAGGTCAGTCGAAAAAATAGCGAAAAATAAAAATAAGGAAGGTAGAAAAGTTGAAAAGTCGGCTGGGGGGGTTTTCTAGACTTGAGCCACTTTTTGAAACATTGCAATATGTTAGCAATCAAAAACAACGAAACACATTTCGTAAATACATTATTTATTATTAACACGTAGATGTAGACGGAAAAAGGAGAATGATTTGACTAGTTAAATTATTCGGTCTTGAGGGCAAAAAAGATAAAAGCTTGAAAACGGAATCTTAGAATCTGATGAAAGCCTAGCTTTCTAACCTTACGGATCATTCCACCCCGATACTGCTACCTGTGGCAGTGTGTTTTGGTCTCATCCTGTACTTTGGACGGCTTGTATAACCATTAAATCAAAATTAGAAGAGGATAATCCACAAGCCTAGTCGAAACACAACAAGTACAAAGCCTTGATTCTATCTGAAGCTAAATTGATGACTTCTAACATCGTTCAAATTTGTTGTTTGATCTTTAAAGTTCTTAAAAGTAGCTATCAAGCCAAAATTCAGCGTGCCGTTGGTCTGCCCAATTAGCAAAAGTGGTGATATAAATCCCCCGGGGGGTCCACGACGTTTGTTGGCCACCTATTGGACGGAGCTGTCGAGTCCGCGCCGATCCAATTTACGCCCCGTAACACCACGGCGTTCCGCTAATTTTTGATGGCAATGGAATCTCGAAAAGTAGGCGGCTTTTAGAGATTTCGGTGGAATTGTGGTGATTCTTAGAAATTAGGACTAGACGAGTTCGAGAAAACAGTTTGTTCTGAATAAAATGGTCGGGGTTTTTATCGTTTATACCGTAGGTATCAGCGTTTTAGCGCTTAATAACGCTCTCTCTCTCTCTCTCTCTCTCTCTCTCCTCTCTCTCACTTTCTCTCTCTTTCTCCCTCTCTCCCTCCCTCTCTTTATCCCCTCTCTCTCTCTCGGTCGCTCGGTCCCTCTTTCTATCTCTCTACCTTGCTCTGTCTTTCTCTAGCTCACTGGGCCTCGGTGTCAAATAGGGAGAGCTAAAAGCTTGGAAGGAACAAAGAGGGCAATCTCCTTCTCTCTCTCACTCTCTCTCTATCGCTCACTCAGTCTCTCTGTCTCTCTCGCTCTCTCTCTCGTTCACTTACTCTCTCTCTCTCTCTCTCTCTTTCTCTTCTCTCTCTTTCTCTCTCTCTCCCTGTCTCTCTCGCATTCTGCTTGCGATTTGTACGTTGGTTTTCGTAGTTCATAATTTATCCGACGTCGTCGTACTTGTACGTATCCCATTCAACGGTATTGGACCCGCCTGCGCCCTGACGGTTGTTATCCGAGGCTTCGTCTTCCAGTGAAATACCAAAAGGACACATCTGGAGATAATAAAGGATCTGTTGGCAATTTGTTCAATGGCACCGGGTAGTAGTGGTCACTTTAAAGGTGCAGGCAAGACAAGTTCACGGATATTGTGACTATGGACCTTGCCCGTCCCTTTAAATTGCAAAACCTACCCGTCTAACGCGTGCACGGCCTGCCAACAGAATGTGATCGTGAAAAATATCGCAAGTTTTGATTCGAGAAAAGCCGCGATAAAGTACGAGCTGACGAAGAAATAGGTAAGTATTATAACCTGGACGCAGCTCTGAAATACGTAATAAGTACGATCTAGAATCGATAACAAAAATTACCTACAGCTACAATCCCACCTGCATGAAAAACCGTATCTCCAGTCCGCGCCTCCTTCTCAATTCCGCGCTCGAGGTGCTCTTGATGACACCCTAAATTTGCGTACGAGGTATATAGTAGAGATGTCACGCATACCGATGCGACGTCGACATGACGTAACATGGAAATTAGGATTCAAAGCGCAAAATTTTTTATCGAGCTTGTTTTGTACTTTGCAGCCTAATTTACATGCTATCCCAACGTCGCGTAATATCTCCATTTTAAAGGGACCGGCGTGTGCAAAAATCGACCCCTCGCATTGACTAGGTCTTGACGGCCAACAGACGTTCAAGAGCAAAGATTTGCGTAACTGTAGAGAGCCGACCCCTTTCATCGACTAGACCTAGACTCTAGAGGGTCGGTTTTTGACGTTCTGGTTCCTTGGATGAAGTCATGATATAGAAAATGACCTTATGCATGCGCTTCAAATGCAATATCGTGTAGATATCTAACAGAATTAACACAACAACCACCAACATTGCGGCATAACAGTCGAGGTAGACACCTAAAAGCCATTTTATCTCCTTGAGAATCTTTGCTTTACGATGTACTACTGATTAACGGGTTCTTTCGCGTTATCGGGGGGGGGGGGCTTGTTCTTAAGGTCTAATTTTTTCAATAGAAATAGGGGAAGTGTTCCTAGATAATTTTTTATATTCCTAAGCGTAAAAACTTTGCAAAGTTTTATAAAAAAATACAAAAATAGAGATTTTTCGGCCAAAAATGGCAATTTTCGACCAAAATTCCACATTTTTAAGAGCTTAGATAGTTTTTTCTAGTTGAAATATAGTTTTATTTTATCCAAAACTTCTTCAAAAATACTTTCGATTAAGTTAATAGACATTTCTAGACTCATATTAAAAATTTGCCCCCCCCCCCCGTTAATGCGAAAGAACCAATTAGCGCATTACTTTTCGTTATCTTTAAAACTTTCCTTACAAATTTGTAAAAGTTTACTATTTTTTTACTACACTATATCTTAATGTTCCACTGTGCTTTACAACGGAAAACATAGATTTTCTCCCGCAAAAGTTTGGTACATGTTCCTTTGCCGGATCAGTGATGGAGTTTTCCCCCCCAGAAACTCACCAATGACATGCCCACACAAATTATCCGAGAATTGCCACGCGTATTTTTGCGGGACGTAGATCATGTAGCAGGTGTCTCCTGGAATTTGCGAGGGATCAAAGGGACCAGGAAGCGCGTGAATCGACCCGTTTCGGCGCCTAGGTCTCGCCAGCTGCGCGACGCTCTTAAAGGGATACCCAATGTTTTAGCGGCTAATATATAGTTATGTATTCCGGAGAGTACAAATGACGCGTGAATTTTGTGCGGTAATGGACGCCCAGTGCCGCACAGAATTCGGCTCTTTTCCCTCTTGTGGCGTCCCCATCTCAACGAATGGCTTGCCACTATGGCCTAATGGATAGCGTCCAGGTCTTCAAAGCGAGGGTGCCGGGTTCGACCCCCGCCCGCGGCATGGTTTTTGCTTTTTGAGCCTCGCAAATGTTGGGTATCCCTTTAAACAGGGAATTCCAGCCATAATCTCGACAGCCAAAAGCCCGACATTCCAAATACCGACAGCCAGAATGCCGACAGCCGAAATACCGAAATGTGATATTTCCGGACGTTTAACTCATAAATGCTTTTAAACTCAGGGGTTTCTGGCTGGCTGTCGGGCTCTCGTGGTGAATGTCGCTATTTTGCCATTGTTTCGTTTCAGCACCTCGCGCAGCCGTCTAGACCTAGTCGATGGCAGGGGTCGATTCGCGCGTTTCGAGTCCCTTGAAAGGGACGGCATTGCAGTGCTATACTTTACTTTGCGCCCCAGCCAGAATTCCCCAAAAATTTTTCGAAATTTCCGCTATCTTGTCGGGATAGCATCAAAAACATACAAAGATTTTTTTGAAAAATAATGCAATATAAAAAGTTAGAGGGAAAAACTTTTCTAGGCCGTTTAAAGTGAATTTTTAACTTACTGAAAAAATAGGGTATATTCAAAATAGCAGCCGTTGCCCATGAGCTGCCGACGAGCAAATAAGTGCTGCTTGGGCCGTGTGATCGATTGCTCCAGCCGGGAAACACTAAACTTCCAATGTTGCCGCTTAATTTAACACAATTCTTAGATTTTCTCGACATCATGCAATTGATATCGTTAATCCCGGTTTAAATTAACACAATTGAAACATATAAAGTAGATTAAACTACTAAAAACGGTCAAATATCCATACCGATAGAGGTAAATCGATTGAGCGAGATGACGACATGAGAATATAATAGACTATGCCAGAATATTTGATTTAATTGGCCCATCAATTTCCCGAGAAACCCGGCGGCCAAAGTGCTGGAGAAACTGAAAATTAGTCCTTTACGGCCGAGTACATATTAATTTAATGGGATACACCAAGGCAACGTGGAAAATCGGCCCACTACCGTAGACTGGCTCTAGACAGCTCTAGACGCTTCAAAGCACCCTGCTGATCGAGGGAGAAGCTCGGATCGAATTGATAGTTATACCATTCGTAAGCTCTTGGTACGGCCCTTTTATTTATATGCGCTATTTTACAAGTGATTTTATAAGATTTTCCATTTTGGAGGGCTGTACACGAACTTATTTACCCCAGTTTCTACAAGCAAAATGGCCGAAAATGGCTGTTAATTAGATGCAAAGACCGTTTTTTGAGGTTATTGAAGTACTTTTAAATGGCGAGTTTAAGTAAAAAATGGTTTTGAAGTTTGAAGCAAACTGGCCGTTTCAAGGGCTTTCGGATGGTAGAATTATCAATCCAGTCGGATACTTCTGCGTCGAGTTAGAGCCGGTGTTACTTTTTGGGACGAACTATAGGGTTTTGCAGTGAAATAACGTGTTCTGGCGTGTAGCATAGCCGACCTCTGCTAGCGAGTTAACTCACAAAAATTGAACCGGCGCACACCAGCTGGCGAATAAAATTAAGACGAATATATTGGCGACGTTTTGTGACAAGCATAAGGCCCCAAAATTGTTGCGGAATTGTGGGAGCGTGAGCACCATGTGGGACGCCTTCACATTGGCCCAGAGCCCGAAAATCGAGACCTGAAAGCTTCTTACATCTTTAGTTACTTCTTACAAAGCTTTAGAAAGATTAGCAAATCTTTCTAAATCTTTGTAAATATTTTTCTCACTTTGTATCTTTGTAAAAACTTGCGACTAAAAAGTCAAGAATTACCGCCGGCTCACACCTTCGTGGAATTTCTCCATGCCCGTCCTAGCGTGCCCGATCATAAAACCTCTAAAGAATCTCTGCTAGCCTGCCTCTTCAGAAGATTCCTCATGTGTTTCTGCTAGCCAACCTCTTTGTCTAATCCCAATTTGATAGCATATAACACAGTTTTTAGCCAAAAAACTTAGAAAACAAATGCCAAATAACGAAAAAAAAGAAAACACTCAAAAAGTATGAAAAATATCCAAAAAGTTGAGCTTGGCTTTCCAAAGTTTTATAATAGTTTGTTGTATTTTTCTAGCAATTGAAAACTACTAAAAACACCGTAAAAATACACTAATTATTATTAAGAGGTATGTGTAGGTGGAAAAACAATATGTTATTCCCGTTGCAGCGCTAACAGCCTGGAACCAGGATCCCTGGTAGCTTGCTTATCCCCTTAAAATCCGCAAGAACCTCTGCTAGCCTGCCTGTTCGTCAAATTCGCTAAATCCCTTCCAGCTCCCATAGGTGTTTTTTTCAAAACATCGAAATTCATATTGTCGAAATTCCATAGTGTCGAAATTCCGACTGCCGAAATTTCGCAAACCCCCGAATCCCGTTTTCATCAAGAAGAAGATGCAGGCAAAAATTTTCGGCATTCTGAATTTTCGACATTATGAAACTTCGACGTTTTGAATGAAAACTCTGCCAGGCTGCCTTTTTGCCAAACCCGCGAATCCCCTGCCAGCTCGTCGGAGTGCTGCGAAGCCAGGTACGCAAAATGTCTGTAACCCACCAACACCAAAACCGCGCTCACAAGATGATGAGTAGAGAAAATGGCGTCCGAGTGTTCAACTTCCACCGTAACCATGGGCTGGCGACGTGACTGGGTAGAGTTCTGGCTGGCCCCCGGACACTATCCGATCCCCATGCGCCCGGGTACTTTTCGTTCACGCATGTTCCCAGGAAATTTATGAGGCAGATCCGGAAAGTCTGAAAAGTTGGGGCCGTCTTTTGAAAACATTCGACGTCGCCGTAGTTTGAAAAACGCCACACAAAAAGCGAATCAAAAAACCAAAACACGAGCTCGGCCCTAGACGGCGATTTAAAGGGGTCGGGAAGCGCGAGAATCGACCTCTTCCATTGACTAGTTCTAGACAGATACGCTATGCGCCAAACGACGCATGAGGTTTCTGGTAGCCAAGGCAGGCTAGTTTTATAGCCCAAAATTTTAAAGAGGCTGAAAAAGACGAGAATCGACCCCTTGGCTTGCCTAGGTCTAGACAGGCACCCGATGCGCTAAATCGCGCATTTGAATCGCAGTTACGTATTTTCCGAATGTTAAGAAAGAGCGTAAGATTGTAGATCTGCCCTGCCCTTCCATCGATTCGGTCTGACAGTCTGGACCACGGGGCGACTGTCCAAGACCTAGTCGATGGAAGGGGGCGATATTCACGTTTTCGGGTCCCTTTAAAACGGGTTTTTTGCGAGTTGAGTAGGTAGGTAAATCTACGCATTTATTATCATGAAACAATCACAGAAGGCACTGAGGAATGGACTTGGTGGTGGACGGCCATCGGGCCCGTATCTTTCGTCGTCAGCCGTGAACTTGCTGACGTCGTCTTTCTTGAGCATCTCCAGTGGAAGACGAGCAGAACGCAGCTGAAAAATCTTTCTCTGTATCTCACTCTACCTAGCTTTCTCTCTCTCTCTCTCTCTCGTTCTCTCTCCGTCTTTCTCTCTCTATATCTCTCTCTCTCTCTCTCTCTCTCTCTCTCTCTCGCATTATTTCCCTTACCCATCCAACGCATGAACGGCTTGCCAGCTGAAGGTGACCGTAAAAAATTGAGCAAGTTTTGCCCGAAAAAACGTCGATATAAAGTAGAAACTTCCAAACAGATAAGCGAGCATCGCCACTTGAATACAGCTCTAAAAACGGCATTTTAAAGAGGCTAGGACACTCAAGAATTGATCCCTGCCATCGACTAGGTCTAGACATCTACGCGACACTGCAAAACCTGGAAGCTTACCTGTATGAAAAACCTAATTTCCATATTCTTTCGTTTCGACATGTCTTCCCGCGTGGCGACGCCGGCCACGTTCTGCAATTGCCGGTACGAAAAGGTAAAAAAATTTTTTTCGCGTTAAAAACATCCATTAATTAAGGAACATTATCGTACCTTATGTAACCTTCGTAACTTGAAAATCGTGAAGACGTCGAGGACTCCGATAATTAGCATACCGGTAATCCCCGCCCAGCAGTCCATGTATGTTCCTGAATATTTTTGTTTGATTTCTCTTTCTCACTGCCTCTCTCCTCTCTCTCTCTCTCTCTCTCTCTCTCTCTCTCTCTTTCGCTCCCCATCTCTAGTCTTACCTATAATGTGGCCGCAAAAATTGTCAGAAAACGTCCATGCATAACTCGTCGGATCGTAGAAGAAATAGCAGGTATCGCCTAAATTTCCTTTATATCAAAACGATGGTTTTTACGTTTCCCTCTCACTATCTGTCTCGCTCTCCGTCTCAATCTCTCTCGCTCTCCTCCTCGCTCTTTTCCTCGCTCTCTTCCTCGCTTTCTCTCTCACTCACTCACTCACTCACTCACTCACTCACTCACTCACTCACTCCACTCACTCACTCACTCACTCACTCACTCACCACTCACTCACTCACTCACTCACTCACTCACTCACCCACTCACTCACTCACTCACTCTCTCGCTCTCGCTCCCTCGCTCCCTCCCTCTCGCTCTCTCTCTCTCTCTCTCTCTCGCTCTCTCTCTCTCTCTCGCTTTTTCTCACTCTCTCTCGCTCTCTGTCTCTATCTCTCTCTCTCTCTCTCTCTCTCTCTCTCTCTCTCGTGTTTCATTAGCTATCAAAACCTACGAAAAAAGTAAGGTATATTGAGAAAAGCAGCTATGCACCAAGTCGAGGCTACCAGAATTCGAGTGCCATTCCCGTTTGCAAATTTCACGCGTCGCGTGGGGAAGACTGAATTGACTTGATTTCAATACGAAACTTTCTAAAAATGTACCTATCGTAAACAGTCGATTAAGCGAAACGGCCAGATGTGTCATGAGTGTGTTGTTCCAGAACAGGATATTCACCTGGCCGGCGAGGCGGCCCCAAAATTCGCTCGCAAAGGTCATGTCCTCCCTGTAACTGCAATTAATACATTCAAAAAGTGTTCCTTTAGCTTAAACTTAAAATTTAACAAAACCAGGCGAAATTAGCAAAAAATAAGATAAACAACAAAGGGATTAGTACATCGAAAAAATATAGATTTAGCAAGTTACAATACGAACAACTTAAACACCAAACTTCGGTTGTTAATTTAGGGAAAAACAAAAATGAGCATAAATTTGTTAGAAAATCGTTATTTAACTTAAAAAACATAACTACCAATCGATTACGATAGGCAAGCACTTACAACCACTGTATCGGGGCGCACCAGCAGGCGAAAATAATTAAGACGGCTGCGTTGGCGATACATTGAGAAATACAGAGAGCCCCGAAGGTATTTCGCAGATGAGGAAGGGTTAGGGCTAGTCGGATTGATAATAAATTAAAGCAGACGCCGAGAGAAGAAATCTGGAAAATACAAATTCCTGAATGATCGTTGCTAGCCTGCCCCTTCCATTCCCAAATGATCTCTGCTAGCCTGCCCCTTCCATTCCCAAATGATCTCTGCTAGCCTGCCCCTTCCATTCCCAAATGACCTGTAGCCTGCCCTTCCATTCCAATATTCTCTAGCCTGCCCTTCCATTCCAAATGATTTGTAGCCTGCCCCTTCCATTCCCAAATGATCTCCTAGTCTGCCCCTTCCATTCCCAAATGATTCTGCTAGCCTGCCCTTCCATTCCCAAATGATCTCTGCTAGCCTGCCCCTTCCATTCCCAAATGATCTCTGCTAGCCTGCCCCTTCTATTCCCAAATGAACTCTGCTCGCTGGCCCCGAAACTTACGACAGACAATGCTCCCAGGGGCCAGACAAAAGTGGATCACAATTTCGAGAAGAAGCAGAAGACCGCAGGTCATTTAGAAAGTTACAGCATTTAGAGAGAAACACAAGAACAGTAAACACAGAAAGATTTTGACAGGGGGGGCACGAGAAATGACAATTGAAAAATAAGAACGCTCTTTAGGCTTGGTATGACGGCCCAGACGTCCGATGAGATTCCTGACCAGCGTACCCTCGCGACCATCAACTCCATCAGACCAGTACGACCAGACCGGCAGCACTACCGTTTCCACCCATCCACCGAGCGGACCCACGATGAAGGCGCCCAGGAACGCGTAGCCGTCCGCGGAACTTTGAAGATGTCGGCGACGCGGAGCTCCGTCACGTGCAGATCGAAGACGCCAGGTCGTAGTCTCGAACGACATCACATCCACGATCGCCACGCTTCTTGACATGGTCGAGAGGGCGAGATCGGGACGTAGTGACCATCGGTGCCGGGGATCTTGACGTTGACGTATTTTGGTGGTGTCGGGCAACGAGGCGTTAGAGGCGGTCGACGATGGCATTGTGACGGAGGGTGATCGCAGGTTGGGACGACAATGATTGAGCACATGGGCGACGCTCGATCGTGGCGCCACATCACGGCAGGTCTTGTCATGGTGATCACGCACGCTCATCCATCAGCGCACCACGTCGAGTCTTCGCTGAACGAACGCCAACCGCAAAAGAGGAAGCGTCCGTCACGCATGAAGTAGTTGGAGCAGGGCTGCGAGCGGTGATGAGACCTTCCCCTGACTCTTTTGGCGGTGAGGAACGAGTTGAGCGATGGACGCGCCCTTGAGCACTCACACGCCTCTGGGACGCCACATCCGACACGAGCAGTTGGATCTGTCGTTGGCCCAGGTCCACTCACGTCGAGCTGTCCGTCTTGACCAGCCGTCCCGTTGCTTTCGCACTCTTGTCCCAGTCGCGTGTCGGCGTAGTACGCCCCGAAGGCACCGTCGAGCTTCTGGTTCAGGTAGTCGGCCACTTCGGAGTCGGTTGGCGCACGAAGGAGTTTCTTCTGCACCGTGCGGAGCAGCTGAGCAGTCATTGGGCCGAGATCAGTCGACACAACAACTGACAGCATCACAGCACACCGAGGTCCTCTGAAGCCAGCCCCCCATCTCATCGGAGGAGCACTCCAGGGCTGCTTGACGGCAGGTTACCACATTTTGCCGTATTCTTGAGCTTGTCGAAGGATGAGTGCCTTCTCCACGTAGCCGTTCTTCATGGAACCGATGCACGGAGGATGAAGTTGACGGCACAGCCCCCAACCAGCAACGAGTGACCTCGAGGCACGCAGACGTCCCAGCGAGAGCCAAACCGACCCGAACATGTCTCGGACAGCGCACCACAACCTGAACGAGACATCGAGCAGTCTAGACACACCACCCTACACACCCCAGCCACAAGACGAACGTCAACACACAAACTCGGACCGCACGAGCATCGCACAAGCACACAACACCTCCCAATCACACCAGCACCAATACGCACAACCTCGAGCGCAAGGTTGAACACGATCGCAAGCGACAGCCCCAACCCCAAATGGCCGATCGACCAAAACCACACATGGCACCCTAGAGACGACGACCAACCCCACCAAAGGCCACGTACACACGGAAAGCGACACACGACCACCGAGAGCAGCCAGGCAACACCTCGACCTGCCGCGGGTCCACACACACGAGGAAGCTGCACCCACGACCGGCAAAGCCCCCTCATTGGAGCGGTTTGAGGCCCACCCGAGACGCGAGCCACACGGACGCGTACAACTTGCGACGAGAGATGGCCCCATAACTCATCCTTCGGGCCTTTTTGCACCAAGAGTTTAGCCTTCAGGAGCTGATGTACGAGGCGCGGACACCATTAGGCGCGAGGACCTGCACCCGGTCGAAGAGCTCAGCACAAGTAGGACACCACGGGACCAGACGCATGTCTACAGAAGAGACCCAGAGCTGGCGGTACTCAGCAAATAACGCCACGGATTCATTCTTTGAACCGACAGGACGCTTTCGGGCACACAGCTCAACACTGAGAAGTGGGAGGCTCACGGGATACGCAAACGCAAGATCCTCCGTGATCTTATAGGTCCCCGAGACCGACGTAAGCCGGATCCGAGAGGCGGCTTTAGGCAGACGGGCGGCACTCCCTCCGAGTCTGGCGGCGGAGCTCGGCAGGGCGCGGCGGCTGTCCCGTATCAGTAGGCCGATCACGATCAGTCACGGCCAGCTCCAGTCCTCGGCCACACCGTAAACCGGACCCACCATCTGGGAGATGTCCACGAGGGGTCAGTGATGAGGAGCATCGGAGATGTACGCTGGCGGCGGGCTGCGCGAGCACGGCGGGCGACGCACAGTGTTACGGACAACTCCAGACCCATCACTGAGCGCACCCTACTCACAGCTGGGGCCCAGGTCATCCCCTGGCTACCCGAGCGACAACGGCGACGGGTGGCGTCTCGTGGCGCGTGCAGGCGACTGTTGGTTGTACTTCACCCTTGACTACAAAACGGTCCAGACGGCACACGGAACTGAGGCGAGGGGTGAGCAGATCCCGTGAGTCCCCTGCAACTACACGGTCCCCTGCACAAATCCGACCTGCTAGGTATCGATTCGTTGGTAGGATAGAAGCCGGGGTCCTCTGGCAGGAGTCGTCCCCCGTCCTGTCTTCCGGGCCCGTTACGCCCCGTCCGAACCCCCCGAGGAGGGCGAGTCGACGGGCCACGTACACGTTCCATCCGGAATCCGCAGGTTGTCGTCGTCCCGTCGTCGTCTCCGGGCCACTGGTGGCGCGGTGGTTGAAAGACGATAATCGAGGTCCGATTTGGCCGGTAGTCGTCTCAATCGATATCAAGGGCGATAAACCGATAGTAACCGAAATGAGGTCTTCCCGTAAAGATCAAGTGTATGTATCAGTCCGATAAAACTTTTACTAACATTGATCTTAGCCAAAGGCCAGAAGCGATCCCTTATAAACTATCATCCTTCCCCTATAAGCAATTTTAATTTTTCTGGGAATTTGGGCGTGATTTCTCTCAAAATCGTCGTCGAATTTTATTTTATGCCCTCAAAGATCGGAACTTTGGAAAAAATTTCCCAGGCATAGCTGATGGGGTGGCACGTTGTTTCGGTTGTTCCGAAAATCACTACCAACATTCTGAGGAGCGCTGCGGAAAATAAGGAAAATTCTCAGAACTGGGAAAACTTGGATTATAGTCGGCGGTACCAATAGAACTATGAAACAGCAATAATCTAGTGCAACTTCCTGGAAATGTTGAGTTTTTTTGGGTTCCGGAAATCTGCTAGTATGGTAAGAAGCGAGTAGGTACAAATTAGCTACGGTATTTTTGGGAGCATGCGTCAAAATTGGCGTGTGAAAAAGTGGATCTGGTTAGCAAGTTTTTCGCAAGCCATGGCAGGGTAGAAACAGCAGAAAATCCAAGCAGAATTGTTAGGGAAGCTAAAAAATCATGCGGAATTGCGGAAATCGGTGGCGGAAAAATATAGTTCTTCGCGTTAAATGACCTTTAATAACTTAATACGGCGCCAAGAAGCAAAAAAAGCAATTTGCATAATATCTTGAACGGGGGGCACAATTATATCCAGCTTTTCATGAGCTAGTGGCTATCAAAATTACGCTATAAATTTAGTAAAATACTTTGACGAAATGGATAAAAATTCAGGCAATTACAAGCATTGCTGCGGGGCCAGAAAAACATAAATTTTCTCAAAAAAATTCCGTTGCCACCGAACCGCAAATTAAAAAATTCCGGGTGTAAACAGAAAAAGGCACAACAAAGCTGGGGGTAAAACGCGAATTTTGAAGGATTTTGAGGCGTATTCAAATTTTAGTACCTCCAGGGTAAGGCATGATTATCAACATTTTTGGCTATGGATTTGCAACAGATCCTTAGAAAAACGCGCCCGCAACACGCAACGCACGCTCGGAATAGGAAGGCCTGCGTGTCGCGGTGCGTGTCGCGGTGCGTGCCGCGGCGCCGAAAATCCACAGAGGATCCGACCAATCGGTGGCCAAGACTGCCGCATCCCTTTAAAAAGATAAAAGATCTAGCCAGCAATACATTATTGTATTTCATTGCGTAATTGACTAACACGATCGAGTGGTGCGCGTTGCGCGTCGCGGGAGTGGAAATACCTTAGAAAACTCAGAGCTAAAGTTCCATCGCTATGCCTTTAGAAAAATTAGGCGTAAGCCATTTTTTACGGCACGTGGCCGATTACGAAGCGTAATTTTTCAGAAAACGGCCTTTTTTGGAAATTCGATAGCCAGAACACGCCAGCTTCGCAAAAGGCTTGTTCTTGGTGTTGATTATGCATAAACTAGCGCGTGTATGCGGAATTCGTTCAACGCCCCGCTTTTTATGAACCTGGGAGAATTTCTCGTAGTCAATTTTTCCACATCTGCACCCCGGGCACCCGGGAACTCAGGCATTTTTTTTGCAAAATCATCGAGTCCAAGATGCCGACAAACTAGAAGACAGGTGCGAAGAGCAGTAAAAAAATCATAGAACAAGTCTTAAACTCTCCAAAAACGACAATAAAAAGGGCTTGTTGGGATGGGCGTATTTTGTGATTAGTAAAGTTGGAAATGTAACGCAAGGCACGACCAAAATTTGTCGACCCTGGATTCCGTATGGATTACACACGATCGCGACACGCGACGCAACGCACCCCGTGCATGCGCCGTGCCCGTCGCGCGTCGCGTCTTGTTCGAAATAACCAAAGAATCCTTTGCCAAAAACCCTCGAAAACCCTTGCTTTTTGGTTTTCTTTTTTATTCAGAAAAGCGCTTTTAGAAGCTAGCAGATTTTTCCGAATTCGAAAACCCCGATTACCGGGATTACCGTATTCGTAGTCAATTTTTATACTATTTTCAACTTGTTTTTTTTCTGAATTAATGAGTCTTACGACTTCATGGTCTAAATGCCCTGTTATTCCAGCTATCCCGGAGCTGTTCCTCGGCTATCAGAAAAAGCAGTATGGGGAACCGGCTCTCTAGATCTGCCCCCCCCCGCGGACATGCCAATATTTTGCCACCTCCCGCCCTTGAGCTAGCTAAATATACGATCCGATTTTCGTCGATAGATCGGTATAGCCGCCTATCACAAATGTCGCAAGGAAAAAGCAGCAAAAAAAAACAGAAAAATACTAGTGGTCAGTCCGGCGCAGGGAAGCAACTTTTCACGTGAATTTGAACGCGCTGGAAGTAGCCTAAAAATCAGCACATTTTTTCAGGGCCTTTTTTGTGTTCAACCTTGAGCTTTAGGGCAATGAATTTGCAAACCCCTGTTGGAAATGAAGCGAAAAAAGCTTGTGGCGAGCAGCCTACTGGTCGGCGAATTATTTTTGGTTAGACCCATGTAGGCCATCCATTCCCTTGGGGTTTCATATTAGACCTGTCTAGAGAAGATTTTTAGGCGTTCAAAGATCGGTCTAAAAATAATAGACTCAAAGCTTTCACGAGTAAACCGCAAGGTACCCAAAAATCTTACTAGGGAAGTGCAATTAAAAAACCGCATAACAAAAATATGGGTCTGATAGAGTCGGCGACGGGGATTCCGAAACTGCAATCAGAATTTGCAAAACGCTTAATACAAAAAAGTTATGAGCGTTTTAAGTTTTGCAGCCCTTGCTCCGCTCTCCCTTATGAGTCCCTCCCAAAGCGGGGAGTCCACCTGTCTAGTGGTGTAGTGGCTAACTAGCCTGCCTGTGGGGCGGAGGGTCACTGGTTCGACTCCCCGGTCATGCAAAACTTTTTGCTTTTTGCTCAAAGTCAACAACTTTAAACTTTTTCAAAGTTTCAAAGTTTCAAAGTCGAATAAGTCGTTCTCTTAATTTTTAAATTCATGAAACCGATTACACTGTGGTGGCGGGAGCGCAAGTACTTTGCGGGTGGGGCACTAAAAAATTCACCTCTGTGTTTTCGTAAGGTATGCCTTCGAACTTTGAAAAAGTGTGAAGTTGTTGACTTTGACCCCTCTTTGGGAGGGGCTCATAAGGGAGGGCGGAGAAAGTGGTGCCAAACTTAAAATGCTCATAACTTTTTTGTATTAAGCGTTTTGCAAATTCTGATTGCAGTTTCGGAATCCCCGTCGCCGACTCTATCAGACCCATTTTTTTGCTATGCGGTTTGCTGGGGTTTTTTATTTGCACTTCCCTAGTTAGCAATAGGACAAGAGACAACCGAGATCCCTAAGGAATGGAAGAATCAGGCTAGCAGGGATTTTTGAGGACGCCTTATCGTTCTCCAAAAATTTTTCTAGGGCATGCTAGCAGCAATTTTTGAGGAATTGGAACCCCCATTATCGTGCCAATTATCTATTTTCTCATCCGTATCAAATTTGGTAGCCAGGGGGGGGGGGGGGCAGAGATCCAGATCTCTTCCCCCTTGCCCACCGTCCAAAACCGATTTCGATTCTGCCATGGGGGGGTGAGGGCTGAAAGCCCTGACCGCCACGGCAGAAGCTTCTGCTCTCCCGGCTATACCCACTCTGGCAACCCCGCGCGGAACTTTTTAACCTGATCTGAAGCTGCCGACGCTTTCTGTATTTTCTAAGTGGCGTTCTACTAATTTATTGTATTTTAAAACCCGCAGTATGCTTTGGTTGCTAACGATATTCGTAGCCGGGATTGCGGCCTGGCCAGTGTCGAATCGAGTGCGTTTTAACGGGAATTGGAAGGGGAAGGTTTATACGAGCGGGAGCCAATAATTTAGGCACAGGCTAGCACAGATCATTTGGGAGTTGTTCACATTTTTTGATTTGTAACACCTTTAAAATACTCCTTCAGACCTCATGCTTCAAATACATCGACTGCCTGGAGCAGACGCAGATCACTTTCAAGAAATGTTCCAGGGGAACCGTGTCGGCGTTGACGTCGGAGACGAGGGATAGGGTAGGAAATCATTTCGCTGTCTCTCTCCCACTCGCTCGCTGTCTTTCTCTCTCTCTCTCTCTCTCTCTCTCTCTCTCTTTCTCTCACTCTCACTCTCATCTCAAATTGATCTTTTGGCTCGTACCTCTCGTAGCTGTTGTTCGTTTTCAGATTTTTCCTATATTCTTTATTTATTTACGATTTTCAGCTATTCCTAGCTGCCTCGGCCACACATTGGAACATCGTTGAGCAGTGCCAGCGTAAGTTCTGTTTCTGTTCTGAAGGGGTGCCTCTCTCTCGCTCATTATCTCTCTCTCTCTGTCTCTCTCTTTATGGACACTAGAGTCTTATCCACTTCTATTTCAGAGGATCTCGAGCTCGAGGGTCTCGATTTCGATTCCCTCCAAGCCCTCGTCAATGAAGATTCGCGTCAATGCTTCCGACGCATGCACAAGAGGAAGATGCCGCTCGATGTAGGTTTAATCAATTTTAGGACAGCGTAGCAGGACTGCTCATGCTCACAATTGAGATTTTTGGTGGCATTATCCCTTTAAAGTTGCATCGAAAATTTTTGCCAAATTTTTCAGGCCGTGTGCGAGGTGCCCGAATTCCCAGTGGCCCCAGAAGGCGTCCAAACCGCTAGATTCTGCCTGACGAGCTTCCGGGACAACCGCAAGATGTGCGAGAAGCTGCTGGACTGCTGTCCGGAGCATGTTAAGTATGTATTCAGCTTATTTTCTACTGTAAAGGGATAGAAAAACCTGAAAATCGACCCCTGCCCTCGACTAGGCATCGACAACTACGCGACACACCAAAACGCGCGTGTGGCGCTTCTAACTTTTCCGCATCACGCCAAATAGGATTTCTTACATCTCTAGTGTCGTATAAAATAAATGTTTAAATATTTTGGTGCGTTGCGTAGTTGTCTAGACCTAGTCAAGCAGGTAGGTCGATTTGGAGCTTCCCAGTCCCTTTAAAAAGAAGATTTATCGCTTTTTCAGATGCGCGGAGCGGCTCACCAAGCTGTCAATTGCTTATCAGGAGGCGAAGAAAAAGTGTAAGTCAAAAGTTGTTCGTTCTTGCTCCCCCCTCCTGCTTTCATGGCTTTCTTTACGGTAGGCAAGAGCAATTTTTAGCCATCAACATTGCTGACAGGATGTTGGGCTGCGTCTATGAGAGCCTGGGCTTGGCTCCGCCGCCAACGACAGCCGTGGAGGGCGATTTTGCTAGGGTACGGTCATTCGCGCAATTTGTAGAATTTATTTTCGGTGCTTTGGCAGCGGGGCGGCGTATGTTTCCTAGGAGTTCAGAAATGCCTAGTACTCGAATATTAGGCATTTTAATAACGTTTTTAGAAAAAATAAAAGGAGAAAACAATAAAAAAACGCCGCATATTTTTAGCTAAAATTTTGATAATCGGGTATTTTTGGTCGAAGTATTTTTGTATTTTTCGAAAAACTTTGTAAATTTGTTACATTTACTAATAGTAAATACATTTAAGAAACGTTCACTTTAGTTAAACTTTATTCAAAAGAAATGAAAAAAGGGGAATCGTAGCATATTGCCCTTCCCCCCCGCCGATAACGCGAAAGAACCATATTTCGAGATGTTGAGTACTGGACTGTAGAATCTTCAGCATTTAAAAGTCAAAAAAATTTTAGACAATTCACTTTTCAGAAGCACCGAAATGCTGAAGCCAAGGGAAAACAGCAAAATGTCCTCACCGGCCATCAATCGTCTGTTCGGTTTATTAAAAAAGAAAGGAAACAGAAGAAGCTGAAGGTATTACTATTTAAGGCATTTCTACGTAGCTTTGTCAGTTAGCTGTAACTTGTTCTTGATAATCTCTTTAAAGACACTCTTAAAGCGAATTTTCAGAAGCTTCCGGTAGCCACCACCGAGAGCCCCCACGCCTACGCCACGATCAAGGGCTCCGATTTTCCGGTGCTCCATGAGCAAGTGGAAGAGCGGCAGAGGGAGAAATATGCCGATAAACTGATCGCAGGAAGGGGGCAGCAGGTAAATACAAAGCAGCATGGAAATCAGCACTAAAGGGACTAAAGAGCGCTAAAATGAACCCTTCGCTCGACTAGGTCTAGACCGCTACGTAACAAAACAAAACACGACGGATTATTGGACGTCAATGCTGCCTCTGTGTCTTGGGGTGTCGCGTACTTGTCTAGACCTAGTGGATGCAAGGGGTCAATTCCCACGTTTCCTTGTCGCTAAAAAATGTAAATTTCTAGCAGAGACCCCTGGAAACCGATTCTGGCATGGAACCAGCAGTAGTCGTAACTGAAGCTCCAAAAATCGAAAAGCCCGTGGTAGAGGAGGCTACAAAGAAGGTAATTACTTCTCTCTCTATCTCTTGCGCTCTTTCTTTCTCTCCCTCTCTCTCCCCCTCTCTCTCTCTCGCTTTATCTTCCTCGTTCTCTCTCTTGTTCTCTCTCGTTTTCACTCGCTCCCTCGCTCTCTCTCACTCGCCTCGCTCTAGTAAAAACCATGGCAGCGTAAATTGTAAGCTCTAGGTAATCCTCAACGACTGGAAAAATCTCAGCGTGGAAAGCCGGGTGGAAAAAGAGAAAATTCTGGAGGTAATAATACCAATGGGTGCTAGTTTAGCTTTAGGAAATGCTGGAGACAACACCTGAACCTGTTGAAGACGCTACGACGGTAATACAGAATTGTATCCCTCCACAAATGATCTCAAGGAAACTCCGACAACTACTGAAGCCGTTGCACCTGAGGCTCGGGTCACAGAAGCGACCGTGATTCTGGAGCAACCGGAAGTGAAGGTGGAAGTAGAAGAGGCCAAGAAGATGCTGGAAAGGACTGACCCCTTCGAGACGTACGATGATGGGACGAAGCTGGATGAGGAAATTGGGTAGTAAATCTAGAAAATTCCATGATTACAGTAGTCATAGGGTCGACTTCGTCTCCCCTTCGACTACGGTCGCTCCAGAAGCCACGAGCGAAATTTCAATGACATCGACATCCCCGTCTTCAAGCAGCACCTCGGTCGGTTTTTCAGGGCAGGCTAGCCGAGATCATTTGGGAATGGAAGGGGCAGGCTAGCAGAGATCATTTGGGAATGGAAGGGGCAGGCTAGCAGAGATCATTTGGGAATGGACAGGGCAGGCTAGCAGAGATCATTTGGGAATGGAAGGGGCAGGCTAGCAGAGATCATTTGGGAATGGAAGGGGCAGGCTAGCAGAGATCATTTGGGAATGGAAGGGGCAGGCTAGCAGAGATCATTTGGGAATGGAAGGGGCAGGCTAGCAGAGATCATTTGGGAATGGAAGGGGCAGGCTAGCAGAGATCATTTGGGAATGGAAGGGGCAGGCTAGCAGAGATCATTTGGGAATGGAAGGGGCAGGCTAGCAGAGATCATTTGGGAATGGAAGGGGCAGGCTAGCAGAGATCATTTGGGAATGGAAGGGGCAGGCTAGCAGAGATCATTTGGGAATGGAAGGGGCAGGCTAGCAGAGATCATTTGGGAATGGAAGGGGCAGGCTAGCAGAGATCATTTGGGAATGGAAGGGGCAGGCTAGCAGAGATCATTTGGGAATGGAAGGGGCAGGCTAGCAGAGATCATTTGGGAATGGAAGGGGCAGGCTAGCAGAGATCATTTGGGAATGGAAGGGGCAGGCTAGCAGAGATCATTTGGGAATGGAAGGGGCAGGCTAGCAGAGATCATTTGGGAATGGATAGGGCAGGCTAGCAGAGATCATTTGGGAATGGAAGGGGCAGGCTAGCAGAGATCATTTGGGAATGGAAGGGGCAGGCTAGCAGAGATCATTTGGGAATGGAAGGGGCAGGCTAGCAGAGATCATTTGGGAATGGAAGGGGAAATCTAGCAGAAAATTTTTTTGGCTTTCCAGGCCGATCCCCAGAACGTCTCCTTCGAAATCGTACCCGACAGCCATGAAAAGGAGAAAACAGGAGCTTTGCCGCTTCCGGAAACCTTGGAAGCGATTCAGAAGAAATCCGCAGAAGAGGTTGCCACCACCACTCATAGGTAAAAGTTTGATAAGTTAAGTTAAAGGGGCTTGGAAGCGAGAGAATCGACGCCCTCCATCGACTAGGTCTAGACATCCATGATAATCAATTTTAGGGTAGAACTTGTGAAATTCCTGCTCTCCACTGCTGATCCTACGGAGAGCCAATATTACCTGAAGCTTGTAGCCGAAAATCGCTACGACGAGCTCCAGAAAATCGCGGATCAAAAGAAGATTCAGGAGAAGAATGGGCCTACCGTACGTTCAGTAATTTTTATCGATGTCGATTTTATCTTAAATTCTGGAAACGAAATTGACATATTTTTGTAGGACAAACTGGCGTGGTGGTGACGATCTAAAAAGTGCAGCAGCTTCTCCTTTAAAAATTGTGCAATATTCTTACGATTCTATGAAAGTTTTAATAAATTGTATACAGTTTTCAAACCGGTGTTTGATTTCAAGGCGCCTTTAAAATCTAAAATTCCAAATTTTCCGCTCCGTCCATCTCTTGCGCTCTCTCACTATCTCTCTCGTCTCTCGCTCTCTCTCTCTCTCTCTCTCTCTCGTCTCTTGCTCTCTTTTTTGTCGCTCTCTCCCATCCCCTCTCTCTCTCTATCTCTTTCTCTATCTTTGTCTCTCTACCGAGATTCAGGCTTTTATCCTTTGGCCTCCCATCCCCTGTCATAATTCAAATTATCGGATTTGAGGGCACAATCTAAGGGATCGGGGTGTTGTTTTGGAAGCGAGGGAGAGGTAGAGAGAGAGTGAGTGAGAGAGAAAGGAAGAGCGACAAAAACTTCCCGCGTTTCACAGAGATCAATGCCGATCAGAGCCGGCGGAGGGCCATGTTTTCGTGGCCTCCATTTTCCCACACAGGCCCTCTCCCTCTCTCTCTCACTCTCTCTCTCGCACTCTTGCTGGTTTTGCAGGCAAAAAGAGGGAAAAACGACTGATCGCTGAGTCCCGAAAAGCATCTGGGGCTCCGGAAAACAACAATTCGGGTCACACACACGGTTTCCGCTTGAGAAAAAACAAAACAAGATAACAACGCAATATGTTGGGGTTTGAACTCGATGAACTGGGCATAAAGGGACGGGCAAGGCATGACTATGGATTTTTTGGCTAAAGATTCGCTATGGATTTTCCTGGGGACGCTACACGGGACTCGAGCGTAACCCATTACGCAATGGAACGGCGGCCGCGTGCCTTTTGTGTTTCAGAAATTTCCGCAAGAATCGATAGCCAAAAATCCAGAGCCATCACTTGCTGGTCCTTTTAAAAAAGCTGGAGAGCCCTGGAATCGACCCACCCCGTCAATTAGGTCTAGCCAGCTACGCAGCGCTCCAAGATACGCCTGCTAGCATACCTCCAGTTCCTAAATCCTGATACTGACGCACCTACCGGGTCACAAAGATTCGGTTTTCGCATGTTTTTGCGTGACGCGTAGCTGTCGTGACCTAGTCGATGGAAGGGGTCTATTCTAGCACTTTATGGTCTCCTTAAAGTCCCTATAGCATCACCAGACTTCCACATCACCCCCCGCCCCCCGAAACTTGCCAAATAACTCGTCTGATCCCCCCAAAAAATGGGCCCGCTGTTGGGGGCCTCGCGGGAGCCTAGTCCAAACACTTGTTGGCAGCTGGCCAAACCCGAGTGAGGTCAGCAGGGCAGAGAACGGCCAAATAGTCAAGGGGTGTTGCTCGCTCCCTCTCTCTCTCGCTCTCTCTGTCTCTCTCTCTCTCTCTCTCTGTTTCTAGCCGGATAATTTTTTCGCAGCTTCCGGAGTTGAAAATCTCTTGCAGTTCTGATGAAGTCAGGAAAACGTGTCGTTCTCGCGATCTCTCATTCGCTCTCTCTCCATCTCTCTCCTTCTCTCTCTCTCTCTCTCTCTCTCTCTCTCTCTCTCTCTCTTTCCTTCGAACCAAAATACTCCAAAAATCGAAAGCTCCACCGAAAAACCGTGAAGCGGAACTGTGTGAGTTTTGGCCGTCAGTGTCAACAGAGAAGTGTTGAGCTTTCTTTGGTTGTTTTCTTTTCTTTTTCTTTATTTTCCAAGGGCAAAAGCCCAAGAGTTCAGAACTGTCAAGCCTTTTGCCCTTTAAAGGGATCGGCCAGTCAAAAGAATGCAAGGAAAAGCGAAGAAGGCCGCCAAGTCCGAACCAGCTGCCGCGTTGAGCACTGCATCTGGGTATTGTAACTAGGATCCGAGAGCAACACGTAACTCCACTGATTTTAAAGGTGCCAGTAAGCGAAGAATCAACAGCTACATGAGGTTCCAAAACATACTTGAGCTTATTTGGCATATTCTAAAATGAAGCACCTTGGATCTAAAATTGAAATTCCCACGTGATTTTGTGCATCGTGTAGGCGTCGATATCTAGTCGCGGAGATCATTCCTAGCTTTTCAGATCGATTCGTTCGAAAGCCTAATCGGCTCATTTGCGTACATACGCACATATGCACGTCCTTAACATAGTGGGGACTAATTTCTGTTTTTCCGCATACTACCTGTTGGTAAACATAGTTTTTTTATATTATTTTTTGTAGTTTTTGATTAGAAAACTATTTTCTGCATTTTTGATTGGCTTTTCTTTCTTCATCAATTTCTTCATCAATTTTTGATCAAAAAGTCAAAAATTTTCATAAGGATTTATAAACTTTTCGTACCTAAAAGGCACGTAAAATTTTTTAAAATGGTTTATGTTTTGTTAGAAGGCCGTACAGGTTTTCCCTTGCTACCCCTCCCCCCCCGCCAACAGACCAGTACCAGTATTCCATCGTCAGGTGGGAAACGTTTTCACGTCATCAAATACGGTATTCTAAGCGGGTTTCAGAAAATAAAAAGAAGCAAAAAAACACGTGGTAGAATGTTAAAAAAAATCAAATCGACCCACATTCAAACATCTGAATCACCCCGTTGCCCTTTCAAAAAGCAAAAACTGTTTTCCAGGTTTATTGGGGGTTTCGTGTTGCCTATTTTGGCATGCCGTGCCCTATATGGAGCCCTAATTTGGGCTGTATTTCGACGGCTCGTCACCGCCTCCACACACCGCCATGAAAAGCACAAATTCGGAAAATACATTTTGGGCCGGCTGGCCCCCGGCCCGGTGGGACACATAAAAGGCAAAAGAAGAGGGGGGGCTTTCCGGGGGAATGCCCCCACGTGGTCTCGTTGTGAAATGCGTTGGCTGCCTTTTTCTCATCGCCTAAAATCCAATTTTTATTTTTATTGCGAAATTCTTGGGGTTGCAGAATTTTTAAAATAAAATCGGAAAGATTTTGAGGAAGTTTATCCGTTTTTAATGGTGCATCGAGGTTTTATCTAGCTCTCTCTCTCACTCTCTCTCTCTCTCTCTCTCTCTCTCGCTATATCTCTCGCTCTTACCCTCTCTCTCACTCACTCTCTCGCCCTCTTTTCTCTCGCCCTCTCTTCACTCTCTTTTCGCGGGAATTCTTTCTTTAATTTGTATTGAATTTTTGGAGATTTTTTGTGGTCAAATTAAATTTTATGGAGGGTGTACCATAGTTTTATGGTTTTCAGGTATTTTTGGATTTTTGAGGTTTTGAAGCGTCTTTTTCTCTTCTTTTTATCCATCTTAAGGAAAAAATGCTAGTTTTGAGTCTGGTTCCTGACTCCTAGAAATGCCATTTTTATCGAACTAAAAAAATCTGTAAACCACCGTGCATTTTTCGACTAGCATTATGTTTTGGCTGCTCCACACCGCGTTATCGTGGAGGAATCTCTTCTTTTTGGGACAGTGGTAATGGCAAAAATGTTTAGTCGTTTATGAGCAGGAAGACGAATTGTGGGAACGGTACTTCTTGTTTTGACGGTATTTGATCCGCTACTGTAGTTTCAAAGGTTGAGGGACTACGCTACGGTTCTATGAACGTAGAAAACACGCCACATATGGTAATTGATCAAAAATGTCTAGCTTCCAAGGCTCGGGACTACGCTTTGATCCTCTCAAGCAACTAAGGAGTCACATTCGGTATTTTTTGCCTCATTCAGCAGCTTTCGTGAGTCAGGACTACACTTTGATCCTTTGACCGTACCGAAACAGTCGCATCTGGGACTTGACCGAAAATTGTCTAGCTTCAAGGCTCGGGACTACGCTTTGATCCTCGGAACGTAACAAAACGAGTCGCAGATAGTATTTGGTAGCATTCAAAGGCTAGAGAGTACATTTCAATCTTCTGCACGCATCTAAAAAGTTCACATATGGTAGTTGAGCGAATACCGTTTAGCTTCCAAGCCTCGGGACTACGTTTTGATCCTCCAAACAGCATAAACAACCCCATCTGACCCATCATTTAATATACCACATGTTCCTTCCCTTCCACGTCCCTTTAAAGGAATGCCGATGCCCCGATTCCTCAGATGCCCCGCGTGACATCTGGCTCCTCGCCTGGCTGGCTGGCTGGGCTGTCTGGTGCCCTGAAACTGGCGGTGTGTGCGCCTCGTGAAGGGGTTCTGGTATCTCGGTTGGCCTTGCCCCGGCAGATTAATCGCTTTTTTTGGGAGGACGGCTAGAACCGGCGTAGTAGTGGAACCCTGGAACGAGTTGGGCTGAGCGCCAGAACACGCCGGAACACGGTGGATGGGTGAAATTTGGAGGGATGCCAAGGTGTGCATTCGTGGCCTTAAAAATTTGGCTAAAGGCCAGCTATGTGTTTTTGAGGTTTTCCGGCGTTGTTGTTTTTTTAAAGGGACTTGAAAGCGTAGGAAGCTACCTCTTAGTCTAGACAGCTACACGGCACTCCAAGACACCACTGAACCTTTTACAGCCCCGTGCGAGGTAGCTATCGAACAATAGCACCCTGCTTGCAACCGTAGTTGTAGCGCCGCGTAGCTGTCTAGACCTAGTCGAACAGAGGGGTGATTCTTACGCTTCCTGGTCCCATTAACGTCGCTTTTTGCGGATTTACCTTTTTTGGCTATCGTTGTTGCTATTGAAAATAAGCTGGGCTTGCTGTAGCTTGTCTAGCTCAGGCTTGGCTTAGGCTTAGGCTCAGGTTTAGCTTAGGCTTAGCTTGGGCTTAGGCTTAGGTTTAGGCTTAGGCTTAGGCTTAGGCTTAGGCTTCGGCTTAGGCTTGGGTCAGACGCAGGCTTAGGCCTAGCTTTGGCTCGACTTAGGCTTAGCTTAGGGTTAGCTTAGGCTTAGCTTAGGCTTAGCTAAGGCTTAGGCGTAGGCTTAGGCATCTGCATTTCTTTTTACTCCGAAACCAAACTACAAAATACCATCCTCATACAGCCAGCCAGCCGACCAGACGCTCCTCCAAACGCCACATGCCCCCAGCCGACCGGGGGGCCACGAGTTCCCCCCAGCCAGCCAAGCGCCCCGATG